CACTAATAACACTTTTAATAAGAAATGTTCCTGTTAATTTAATTTTAACAGCAGTTGCTCCATGGCTGTAGAAAGCATTATGGGAAAAGGTTGGTGATATGCAGGAAAATATACAGAAAACAAGTCAGACCGGCAAATTTTCTGGAAGACAAGTGTCCCCTTTATTGTCATTTTATTAGTACAATATAAAATGTTTTTACATGACAGAATGCATGGCGATGGATCAAAAACAGTGAAGTAGGCTACATTTATGATTATATTCCCAGAAAAAAATAAATAAATTAATGGGCTTGGTTGGAGACAAGAAAGAACATAAAGGGAAAAGTCGGACTGCCTCTGCCGGATTCGAACCTGCCACGAAGCAAAAAAATTGCACTGAAGGCGGTTACTTAACCCACTACGCCACCTCTCGGTGATGATAATTGTTGACACATTCATACTAATACCGGTGAATACAAAACATCAGTTGGCGATGCAAAACGTTTTTACATGAAAATAGGCATGGAATGGATTCAAAATAACAGCAAAGTGTATGTTGTGGATATATTCCTAACATTAAGGCTTTGTGAAACGGCAATGCAGTGAATTCTGGCAATGCTGCAACTTTGAGCTCTGTGCAGTTTTCCACAAAGCAGATCTGTGCTGAACTTTCTTGGTCTGGCTGCCTTGATCAGAGATTGGATGCAACCAGTTCAAATGCATTGGCTGTGGGAAAAGAAGGAAGGACATCATTATCATATTAGGAAAACGCGCGTTAAATACGCGCGTTCTGACCGACACAACGCGCGTATTTAACGCGCGTTCTGACCGACACAACGCGCGTATTTAACGCGCGTCTTGCGGTACTATCATGACGCGCGTAAAAGGCGGCGCTTGTTGGTAAAAGACGGCGTAAAAATCGGCGTAATCTCGGGAGAACGCGCGTTTTTTGCGGGTTAACTTCAATCTTAACGCGACAATTCAATGCGAAATATGACCTTCTTGGCTTGCCATAGACACACTTTTGCACCGCGCAGCCAGAGCAGCAAAGCTGCTTCAGCTGCGCGTCAGAACTAACTGGTACAAGCAGCAAAAATTAAGCAGCAGACACGATTTTGCTGCGTGAACGTAGCATAACTGCACAAGGATCGCCACTGTGCTAGCAAGGAGAATGCTTTTGACTGGGGGGTGTAGCAGTTCTCGGCCGTAAAGCAAGACTGACTCTCACGAGACTTCTGAGCCTGTGGGTGCGGGTCGGTGCTCCTGCAATTGCAAGTGCGGTATTTCCCCCACAGACCACCAGGGCGGCCGAGAATACCTTTGTTCAACCTGAAATGAATCATTTAATCATCCAAAACGTTATGGAACACATTAATTAACTGAAAAAATTTGCATAGTGTGCCTTTAAGCCTAAACCAATTTAGTTTGGATTCACCAGTTGACCACAAAACATGCTGAATCGGATCAATCTTAAATAATGAAATAGGTTTTGTCAACTGCTAAAAGCCCAGCTTGCATGAGGTCACTGACTGCAATCTTTCACTAGACTTTGTGTTAATCCCGCCGTTAAAATGAATGCAGTTGTTCCAGCTGGGCTGACCTAACGCCACATCCAGCTCTCTCCTGGCTGACCATCAAAATGGTGTCTGAACCAGCTCTTCCCGGTCAAATGAATGCCTTTAAAGAAAGGTGCAAACCCACTAATCTAGAAACCGAATATTTTACCTTGCATAACCCCCATTGTTTTAATTCCAAAGTGCTTGGGACCCAGACTCCTGTCGTAGACTTAAATCTGCTTTAGATTAATTCAACCTGGCTAAATAAGACTAGTTTTTTTTTTTCAAAAAGTGACCCCAATCCTGTTTTAATTGCTTTGATTTTTCCAATAAGTCCAAACGAATTTGAAGACTTCACTGCAGAGTGCCAAACCTGTTGGGATTAAGTGAGTTATAAAAATATACAATGTCAGACTAACAAGGTTTTTAGTTTTTGTACACGTGACACAAATATTCAAAAGGAATGGGATCTATGGTACTGCTAGACTCTAGTGGAATGGAGGCTGTTCTGTGGGGTGAATCGTCTTCAATTGACGACCTAATGGATGAGTCTGGTTTTGGCTACATTTGGCCCCTGATTTGCAGTAAAAGATGCTGAATACATGTTTTTTTTTTTCATTTATAATAGCAAAGCGAAGTCTATAAATGAAGAATTTTAAAATCATTACAGGTTATAATTGGGACCCCTAGTCCCTCAGCAGCTGCTTTCACTTTAGAATTGAACTGAGCCATCTGAAAATAAATGCAACATAGGCATCAAATTGTATCTCTACCTGCTGCTTCTAGCTCTTCAACAGTACAGGAAAATATCCTGGTTACTCAGTGTTGTCTCTACTGCTGAGTAAGGAGTCCCATCCTTATTACTTTTTAAAAACTTTAAGCATTGTTTCCTATATAGGGTGGTGTTTGGTTAATATGGACATTTTTTGTTTAAAGAGAGGAGACATTCATCTTTACAAAAAATAATTAAATACATTAAAGCTGTGGCTACATTTGCTGTTTATACTGTATATGTGCTTTATTTTAATATTTTTATAAAAGCCCTGCTGGAGTTTTCCTAATATTCCCCTAATATGCCACCTTTTGCATGAATTAGAGCTGAGATTGAGGGCCAAAATAAGTAATTTTTAAGCCTTGTTCTCTTACCTTTTCAGCAATCTCCCTGAAATGTTTTAATTAAATATTCTTTGTAATGCCAAATTCCTAAAGAAAAACACCCACATATGATCCCACCACCCCCATACTTGCAGACGGGAGTGTTTTTTTTTTCTTTTTCTCAAGCTTTCAAAATTCCTAATTTTTCTTTAAATGCACTACAGGTGATTGTGTTTAGAACAATGACTTCTTCCTCTCTGAGTGGCCTGTCAGCCCATCTTGGTACATGACTCATTTAAGTCAAGATAGTAATTCTCTTGCTTTTCTTCGCTATGGTGGAACATTATCACAATGCCTATTCAGAATGTAGATAATATTTAAAATCAGCTGTAACAGCGGTTATATCTGATAAATAAGCTGCAATATCCTAAACAGGGCATCCTTGTTTTCAAGAGTGAAGTCTTCCTACATAGGCCAAAATAATCCAAAAGAAAAAAAATGTTCTGTAAGAACACAAATTTGTGAATTCTCTTTACCTGCTCAACAAAACAACCTTTAAAAAAACAGTCTTTTCTTTTTCTGAAGAAAGAACAGATATATTTAAAAGGTTTTATTAACAAAGACTGATGAGAAATTATTTGGGGGGTGGAGTGGGCTGAATTAGTTTCTGAACTGTTTAAGAGTAAAGGTTTCTGGATATTTATACTCCCATTTACTATGTAATTAAATGAAATAAAAGACATTATTCATAGATTACTACTTTGCTTTTCCTAAAATGTTAAGTTTCAATATCAATGAGAAGCCTTTGCCTTCATGAAATCCCTATGCTGACGAGCCAGATATGTGCCATTTATACATTTTGCTCTGGAGCCATCAACAGCCCCTAAGACGTTATTTATTGTGTGTGTATTCATTCCTAATTTCAATATCTTAAGGAAAAATTAAGACACCAATTTTACACTTTCATTTTGGTTTAATCAATAAGTTATTGGTATGAAAATAAAAATAATTTAAATCGTCAGATATTAGGGTCTATCTGAATCACAGTGGTTGTATTGTTTCTATGTCAACAAACATACATTAACAGTTCCTTATATATGTATTTTTTATTTATTAATTTTAATGATGGAACATATATCAATACATTTTTGTGATCTTTCTTATGAATGGCATAAAGGGATTGCCACTTTTAATCTGGAGTACAAATACCATTTCTTTGTTCTTTTGTGCCCTAAATGGATCTGTTGGTCTGTATGTAGCTACAGCCTTTGATTATTTAAGAAACTTTTTAATCTTTAGAACATATTTTTTGATGAATATAACATTTTAAATACTAAGTAAATTACAATTCCTTGATAAATGTTTTGACCTTAAAAAAGCATGTATTGCATATCTCTAATCAATCATAAATTATAAGAACATTTAATAGAAAATGTGTCTATGTAATATATCTTAATTCGCTTCGGTTAAGGATGCAGGCATTTTAAAATTTCCATTTCAAAATGGATTCAATTTTTGTACAGTTTTAGATGAATTACTGCTCTGAGTATGTTTTCCATTCAGAAAACTTCATGTTTTAACATTAGTATCCTTCAAATAAGAATCTAAATTCGAATACCAAATTACTTATTATTAATTATTTTTATAATTGTGCAATGTATAATGTGCAATTACTATTTAATACCTGTGCGATAACCTGTTTCTTTATATATTTTTATATATATTTCTTGCCCTAGTTATATATATATATATATATATATATATATATATAAATACCCTGTGCAATAACCCCAATAATCCCACTAAATACGAGACTTAAGCTGTCACATATATATACACATATATACATACATATATATCTATATATATATATCTATATATATATATATATAGATATATATACATACATACACATATTACACACATATATATATCATTACATACATATATATATACACATATGTGTATATATGTTCTTCTTTTTAACCATTTGAGCCGATATAACCAGTGGATTTCTTGACTGCGAAATCAATAAAGTCAATCAATCAATAATTGATCAATCACAATAAAAAGGTTTCACCTCTTATATATAAAAAGTTACTGCCTTTGTAAATATTTGTTTATACTATTTGAAAAAAAAAATAGTATAATATTTAACTTTTATGCTTAATGCAGTACATACTACACAGAAATATGATAAAATATTAAATATTAAGGGCAGGATGTAATTTTAATGGAGCTCTTCCATGCGGCCCTCTGACCGTCACGCATGCGCAGAAGAGTCCTTCCCCGCTACATTCGCGCTTATCAGCCAGGTAGGCGTGTCCCGCTGCTGCCATTGGCCAATCATCATTCCTCTTCCTTTTTCTATAGATACCACCCTGCCTCTGAATAATGATAATAATGACCAAGATGGCTACTTCAAAATCTTCTCTGTAGTAGCTAAACACCAGTTTCATGGAAATACTCAAACTTGCGATTTATTTATGTTTAAGAACCTCGTAGGCGGCGGGGCAGAGCCACGGAAAATACTACATGGATTAAAGCGGGGGAGAAGGGACTAAAGTCGCTGTGTGGCCCCGGAGGAGTCATTCCGAAGAAGCTAACTAGCTAGCAGCACCCGTCGAGACTCTCCGGCTCTCTCCCAGCAGCTGCCGCTCCCTCCCCCGGTCCGTGTGCCCGCTCACCGGAGTAGCAGAGCGCCAAATGGCAGAGCCGAGGAAAGTGCCGTTCGTGACCATCTCTTCCTTCAGCGCCCCGCCGCCGCCGCCCCAGCAGCAGACCCCGGAGCCCAACAAGAAGCGCCGCCTTGAGGACGAGGCCGCCGACATCACTTTGGGGAAAGATGGAGGTGGAGGTGTAGCGGCGGCCGGGTCAGGAGGTTCCGGAGCGGCGTTTGGCAACACGAAGGGAGGCGACACCGACGGCGGGCAAACGAAGCCCACCGTCCGCCTCAACCTGACGCTGAGCGAGCCGAACGAGAGGAGCTCATCCGAGTTCAACTACGGCGAGCTGGTCCAGCCAACTGCTGCTCAGGTTAGACACCACAGACACGCGTGACTGTGGACACCATGATGGCAACAAGGGCATAGATACAGCCAGCTCTACTTTACTGTCAATTTGATAAAAAGAACAAATACACAAAAGCTTTTTATCTAGTTAAATGACAATAAAAAGATTCATAACGTTGGTAATAACTTAGATCAGCTTTATAAGAAAACAATTTCAGCCAGATTGGGAGATAAACAAAGCCTGTCGAGATGCCCTCATTGAACTGTCTTTTCACACAGCTTCCTTTAATGTCCTCAGCAGGTCTTTAGTGGCGATTTTATATCCAGAACTAAAGCTTTGGGGCAGATTCTGATGTTTTGAGGCTGTGTTGCACGATCTGCACGTTGGATATGTGTTTGGAGAGGGGGGGCTGAAAGCCCTGGCCTGTGCTTTGGATCATTGTCCATGTCTGCAGGGTTTTAATTCCTTTATTTTAGAAAACAACTGGAAATCCACTCCTCTGCTTCTAATGATGAATAAAGCTGATTAAGTGCATCAGTTCTACAAAAAAAAGTATTTTATATTATTTTGCCCCTAAATTAGATCCTAATCTTATCCTTATTAGTTTAATTTGTTGTTTACAACTCAAAAAGTTATATAATCTCAATTCTGAATTGAGAGTAAAAATAAACAATTATTAACTTGGCAGCGATGAATGAAGTCTTAAGAAGGGAACTCTAAAGGGGTGGAGAGGTTAAAAGCATTGTGACAAAACAAAACAAGATCCTGCCTAGGGCTGCAACTAAAAACATGCATACAGCTTACAACAGTGAATAATAATAATAATAATTTAACTTTATTGATCTTACATTGGAGAAATTTAGCTCTGCATTTAACCCATCTCCTGAATAAGCAGCTTATAACAGTGCAATGAAATAAATATTGCCATTTATAAAGTGCAGCAGTGATCAAGAATGTAAACTGAAGTAAAAAAGGAAAACCAGTTTAAAGTCATGGTGCGAAAGGCATTGTTATGGAAAGGTTCAGTGCATTGCAAAATAGATGAATAAATATGGTGAAAAATGCAGTAAAACATTATTTAGAATGAAATCAGTGCAGGCAGGGGGGGCTGAAAACCCTGGCCTGTGCTTTGGATCATTGTTCCTGGCTGCAGAATTTTATTGGTTTATTTCAGGAAAAAAACTGTCACCTATTGGAAACCACTCCTCTGCTTCTAATGATGAATAAAACTGATTAATTGCATCAGTTCTACAAAAAAAAAAAAAAAAAAAAATTTATATTTTGCCCCTAAATTGGATCCTAATCTTATCCTTTTCAGTTTGATTTGTGGTTTATACAACTTTTTGGAGCAACACAAAATGGTCTATAATTTTCAATTTTGAGTAAAAATAAACAATTATGAACTTACCAGCGATGAATATCATGAAGTCTTAAGAAGGGAACTCTAAAGGGGTGGAGAGGTTGAAAGCAACTAACTATTATTTTGAAAATCAATTAATCTGTCGATTATGTTTTTCAATTAATAATCGGACAACCAAAGGTTCCTTAAGGAATATTTTTTTTACTAAATTAAACAGGTGAAACTAAAATGTTTCTAGCTGAGAAGTTCTGGTTTGAACATATTGACAGATGAAAAAGCTTTTTTTATTTTAAATGCAAAATGTTTACTAATAATTTTTTCACAATTTTGATTTATTTATTGCTCTAAGTGGGTCGATCTGTCAGCTAAAGGCATGTTTTACAGTCTCTACACTCCATTTAACAATAAATTACTAAAATAGTTGATGATTATTTCAATAATAGATTAATGATGATTAATCCGATTAATTGTTTTAGCAATAATCCCAACCCTTTGAGCGCCACTTACTGTCATCTCCAGACAATGCATACCAACCGATCTTCCAGTTTCTGAGGCTGACAAACATGCTTTCCTACTTGGTCCAGTTTAACCTCCACAGCTTGGGTCATAGCTTGAATCACAGCGTGCCAAAAGCAGTTTTCACGTGTTTTGTTAAACTGCAGTAAATATTTTAGACTTAGATGGGAACCTTGCACTTTCAGTGGAATCTGGTACCAGGAAATCAGACTGAAAATGTTTAAGGAGGATGAAGGATCCATTCCAAAGTCTGTCATTATTCCCATATCTGGCTTAGCGTTCCCTAATAGCAGCAGATCAGCTCAATTTTTATTTGAAGCTCTTAGACAAACTTTATTGTCATCTACAAAACAAAGTTTCGATGCATACAGCTTACAACAGTGAATATTAATAATAACTGAACTTTATTGATCTTACATTAGAGAAATTTAGCTCTGCATTTAACCCATCCCCTCAATGAGCAGCTTATAACAGTGAAATAAAATAAATATTACCATTTATAAAGTGCAGCAGTGATCAAGGATGTAAACCGTAATAAAAAGGAAAACCAGTTTAAAGTCATGTGCGAAAGGCATTGATATGGAAAGGTTCAGTGCATTGCAAAATAGATAAATAAATAGAACATTGGCTATGATGAAATCAGCGCAGATTCACTCGAGGAATAATGAACATTTGTTTTTTTGTTTGTTTACATTTAAAAAAAAGTTTTAATTTTGTAAATCCACGCTTCTTCATCCGGCTATTCTCTACTCTTCGTATTCACAGGTATAAGAGTTTGAACTTAAAAACCAAGATGAGCTTTTTCCACGTGAAATCATGTGACACTAAAGTTTTCGACCAGGATTCTTTTGCTCATGTTGCACAATCACAAGCTTCCTGGTAGGGTTGTCACGATACTAAACTTTTCAACTCGATACCGATACTAAGGAAAATATTCTATACTCGATACCATTTTCGATACCACAAGGATAAAAACAAAGACTCCAAAATTCAACAGAAATATTTTCATTAATAAATAAAATACAATAAATAAACACAATAAAGCTTGTATGCTGTGCATAATATAAGCTTGATAAAAAACTTATAAAATTCAAATGAAGTGTTCCTTCCTTGGCTATGCTTTGCACACATAACAATGACGCTAGCCAAACCAGTTAAGAAACAAAAATAATTCTCAGCAGCTGCACCTCTTACAAAAAAAAAGTCTGAAACTGAAAAGAGCACAGAATTATTCATTCACACAGTGTTCTGAAAGCGCATTGTCCTCTATTCTGCACTTTAGATGAACGACTGCTTAGGTGCCACTGGTGACGGCACTGTATCGATACTTTTAAAATCGAGTATTGTATCCGGATACAACATTTCCGTATCGATACTTTTTTGAGTTTCGATACTTTTGACAACCCTACTTCCTGGCCTGTTTTTTACTCTGTTAATAGATAATTATTCAGTTTCAGTTCAGATGTATCTTGTATCAAATGGGCTCTATCACTTTTACAGATGTTGACGTTTACAAACAAAATACAAATGCTCAGTATTATTTTTTTTTTTCAGGTAAAGCCTGCAGGTTCAACTGTACCTAAAGGCCTCACTCCCCCCCTGGACCCCAGCGACCCTTTTGCTGACGACGAGAAGGAGAGGCGGGAGGTGGAAGAGCTCGCCAGGAAATTTGAGAGCAAATATGTGAGCAGTTTTGAAATTAATATGTATTTTTTTTGTATAAATTTAAGTTTTTTGCCTTAAATCGGTGAAATCCATTGATTTGACTTGCTAAACATGTTTTCTTAAACAAATGCAAATATTCAAAGAGTACATGGAAAGGGTTGGAGCTGGACTCAGACAGATTTGTTTACTTTTTGCTTTAGCTATCCTGAAACATTCAAACATTTTGGGTGTTCTGTGAATCCACTGAGACTAACTTCTCCCTTTTTTACCTCATTAAAATCCTTCTAGTTTAATTTATGTAGTTTTCTATCTGAACTGGATTCCTTTTCCCATCGTTCTTAGGGTTTGGAAGGTCAGCTTTCGTATTTAATTTAAACTAATTTCCCCCCTAAAAACAAAACAAAAACAAATTTAAAATGAGATAATTTGTCTGATTTTCTTTAAATTGTTTTAATGATCTTGAATGTGCTTCACTTTTCTATAACAAACTAGAAATGTATTAAAAACACACAGACAAAAACACATTTATAGCCTTTATTTATTTATTTTTTTTACATTTTCTGATGTATCTGTTTTAGGGAGGCGCCACTAAAAAGAAGAAAAAGGATCGGATGCAGGATCTCATTGACATCGGCTATGGTTACGATGAAACGGACCCCTTTATAGACAATTCAGAAGCTGTAAGTCATTTATTTTTTTCTTAAAAAGTTCCTAAAAAATGAAATCATCTCTCATGTGTGATGAGTTAAGCCTGACGGTTCGGTGCTCAGCCCAGCTGAGCTCTGTGCATTTAGATCTATTTATTGATATGGCTGAAACACTCACACATCAAACCTACGTGATTTATGACACTTTATAACTATGTTGTAGAATACATCTAATTTTCTATTCAGTTTATTGATCTTTTGATGTGTTTCATGGAATTGTTTAGAAAACACAAGGAAATCTTATTGAAAAAGTCCTGTTTTTATATGCAGGAGTAGGAATACCATGGAAATGAGCATGTTTATTAGACAAGAATTTGTTTAAGTTGGGAACCAAAAAATTTTTTTGAAAGTTTTGGATACTTGCGGCACATCTGTGCCAAAAATTACAGGTCTTCCTGCGATACTGTTCACTGAAACCTTTGTAGAACAAAATTCTTTAACCGATTCATTAAAATTTGCTGCGGTCATCGTCAAGATGTGCTTCTATACATTCTGAGGCTTCATCCAGTTTCGCAGTTTTCATGATGTTTTGCAGAATTTATCTTCGTTCTGGTTCATCACCTATAAATAAGAAATTAGGACACTTAAATCCGTGATTTATTTTTTTTCCTTTTTCCTTTAGTATGATGAGCTGGTGCCAGCCTCTCTCACCACAAAACACGGAGGCTTCTACATCAACACGGGCACTCTGCAGTTCAGGGCAGCGTCTGACTCTGAAGGGGAAAACACAAACACAGAGGATCATCGCTTCAAGGTTATTTTTTTTCTTCTCAAAATGTTTCCCAGCATGAATTCAACCTCTTGCTAAAATGCAAAAAAAAAAGCCAAATGCCGTAGCATTTAGTAAACCCTGATCCTTTCCTTTCTTACAGAAGATGAAGGACGGGGAAGAGCGAGTGATTAAGAAGCGACGGAAAAAGCAAGATGGTGGATTATTGGAGGAGAAGAAACCCAAGAAGAATAAAGTGCCGAAGCCTGGGTGAGGTTCTTGAATGTGACCTATTGCGTGGGTTTTTACAGCCTGCTGCAGAGGGGCTTAACTATTGCGCTTTTTTAACCATGTTGAACTTTTTGCCTTACATATTAAAGAAAATGGTAAGATAATAGATGCATGGTAGAGGCAGAATCATGCTGTGGGGATAATTCTCTTGGTAAGATACAGGGAGGTCGAATACTAACGAAGGAAATGGAGCAAAATATTTTTTCCCCCTGAGATTGGTCTGTATTTAACTGTTCCCACAGCACTACGCTACCACTGCCATGTCTCACTGTGGGGATTCCATGTGCCCCCTTTATAAAGTTCTGTTAGTTTTTAAATTTTTTTTATTTATTTCTGGTTTGTTGTGGCAGCGTTTTGGCTCTGAACGTTCTCCGGCCAGAGAAAAAGAAGAGGAAGAAGCTGATGAAGGATTCGCTGCACCTGGCCAACATGCTGCGCCGCTTCACCAGGGAGAAGGAGGAGATGCGCAAGAAGAACCTGGCGGCCGCAGCCTCTCTGCCGCGACCCAACACCAAAGTGCCCGGCGCCAACAGCGCGGTTGTCAGCGCCCACCCGAAAGCCCCCGTCAGCGGCGCCGACTGCGGCATCACGGACCTGACCGAGGACCAAGCCGTCATGTCGCTCCTGGGCTCCGCCAACAACGACATCCTGCAGGACATGATGGGGGACCTGGACTTCGGGATGCTGGACTCGCCTCAGCCTTGCAGCCCCTCGCAGGGGGAGAACGGGTCGTTTGGGTCGGGTCAGAAAACGGGTCGATTGTTGCAGGGCAACATGATGACCCCTCCTCCTCCTCTTCCCTGCGGGCTGCCAGGTCCGCTCTCAAAGCGGATCGAGGACTTGAGAGCGGTATGGAACAAAAATAAAAAGGAATTCCCTTCAGATATCAATTTCTGCTGCTTTTATGGTCTCCTCTAATCGACGCTTCCTCCCCCAGGCGTCCCGTCAGTTTGACGAGGAAGGCAGGAAGAAGTTCTTCACGCTGGATATGAACAACATCCTTCTAGAGTCGGTATCATTCATCCCATCTGTGTCTGCTGTGAAAGATTAAAAGCGAGCTGAATGATAACGTGTGCTTGTGTCTCTGTACGGCAGCATCGAGTTGCAGGTTCAGGAGCAGCCTGCAGAGGTGCGCTCGGCCGTCTACTCTCACCTGGAGGCCTTTGTGCCCTGCAATAAAGAAGCTCTGCTCAAACGCCTTAAAAAGCTCAGCCTCAACGTGCAGGTGGGTGTTCCTGTGTTAGCTTCCAGTTAGCTCCCATATCTGAATGTTTCTGTAGCGGACTATATATAGCATCAGTCTGCTGGCCTGGATAGGCCCCACACAGCTTCTGACATCTCTTATCTCTCGCCCAGGACGACCGGCTTAAAGCGCCCCTTCTGAAGCTGAAACTAGCCGTGTGCAGCGTGATGCCGGAGCAGATCGCTCGCTACAACATGGACTGCATCGCCAAAGTGGCAAAGTAAGGGAAAACTGCTCTTGTTGTTTTTCTCTAAATCTAGATGAATCCGATATGTTTTTTTAGAGCTGCTTGTTGGTTCTCACAGGCAGCAGTCTGAGGAAGGAGACAAAAACGGGTCAGAAGACGACGATGAGGAGAAACCCGGGAAAAGGGTGATGGGGCCCCGGAAAAAGTTCATCTGGGATGACAAACTCAGGTCTGTTTGGACAGTTTACACCCATTAAATTGTTCTTCTGACGCGTTCCACCAAAAATCTTATTTCATTTAGAAAAGACTCGTAATCATGAGGGGGAGGGAACGCTTTGAGAATGCACCAACCTATATCTTTACCTAATAAAATGAGGCTCACTTTATTTATTAGGTAACAATAAATAAAGTCAGCATTTCTAATAATCTATGTTTGATAGAAAGCGTTTCATAGCTCAATTAATTCTCATCTAAAAGTTAAAAGATTGTCATCTGTCTTTTTCCCACTCCTTGATGATTTTTTAAAATAAAAGTGACAGAGTAACTTTCAAAAACTACCTTTTATTTCAACCCTCCTCTCTGGGAGGAGTACTTCATTTAATGAAAATGTAATTCTAGCTGGGAAAATGCTGTTGAACAAAGAAAATGCAACAAATAAAATGTTTGCAGCGAACGGTGTTACAAACTAAGTCAGTTTTTTCAGTTATAAGAACACATCTAAGAACAGAAAGGGATGAACTGATGTCACCCTGAGCTACGGAAGCCCAAGTAGGACATTGGTGGGGAAAGAAAATCCTGATTTTACAAAAAATAATCTTCATAAACAGAAAATTCTATTAATTGATAACATTGATTAATCTCTTGGTCCATCATGAAAGTTAAGAATAAAAAAAAAAAATCTGATTTGGTTGAAAAAGAAAATTAAAGATTAGATCTTAAAGCTATATGCCCGATCTCATGGAGAGATGTAATGCGGCAGCTTTCTGCTGGGATCTATACATGTGTTTACAGTGAAATGATCAAAAATAATAGATTTATCTGTTTTAAGGCTCATCAGCGTATCAGCTGACAGGCGGTGACTGTGCAGTAATACAGGTGCTGGTCATAAAATTAGAATATCATGAAAAAGTAGATTGATTTCAGTAATTCCATTTAAAAAGTGAAACTTGTATATTATATTCATACATTACATACAAACTCATATATTTCAGATGTTTATTTGGTTTAATTTTGATGATTACAAATGACAACAAATGAAAATCTCAAATTCATCATATCAGAAAATTAGAATATTGTGAAAAGGTTCAAAATTGATGGCCCCTGGTGCCACACTCTAATCAGCTAATTAACTCAAACCACCTGCAAAAGCCTTTAAATGGTCTTTCAGTCTAGTTCTATAGGCTACACAATCATGGGGAAGACTGCTGACTTGACAGTTGTCCAAAAGACGACCATCGACACCTTGCACAAGGAGGGCAAGACACAAAAGGCCATCGCTAAAGAGGCTGGCTGTTCACAGAGCTCAGTGTCCAAGCACATTAATAGAGAGGCGAAGGGAAGGAAAAGATGTGGTCGAAAAAAGTGTACAAGCAAGAGAGATAACCGCACCCTGGAGAGGATTGTGAAACAAAACCCATTCAAAAATGTGGGGGAGATTCACAAAGAGTGGACTGCAGCTGGAGTGAGTGCTTCAAGAACCACCACACACAGACGTATGAAAGACATGGGTTTCTGCTGTCGCATTCCTTGTGTCAAGCCACTCTTGAACCACAGACAGCGTCAGAAGCGTCTTGCCTGGGCTAAAGAGAAACAGGACTGGACTGCTGGTGAGTGGTCCAAAGTCATGTTCTCTGATGAAAGTAAATTTTGCATTTCCTTTGGAAATCAAGGTCCCAGAGTCTGGAGGAAAAGAAGAGAGGCACTTCATCCACGTTGCTTGAAGTCCAGTGTAAAGTTTCCACAGTCAGTGATGGTTTGGGGTGCCATGTCATCTGCTGGTGTTGGTCCATTGTGTTTTCTGAGGTCCAGGGTCAACGCAGCCACATACCAGGAAGTTTTAGAGCACTTCATGCTTCCTGCAGCTGACCAACTTTTTGGAGATGCAGATTTCATTTTCCAACAGGACTTGGCACCTGCACACAGTGCCAAAGCTACCAGTACCATGGTATCCCTGTTCTTAATTGGCCAGCAAACTCTCCTGACCTTAACCCCATAGAAAATCTATGGGGTATTGTGAAGAAGAAGATGCAATACACCAGACCCAACAATTCAGAAGAGCTAAAAGCCACTATTAGAGCAACCTGGGCTATCATAACACCTGAGCAGTGCCACAGACTGATCGACTCCATGCCACGCCGCATTGCTGCAATAATACAGGCCAAAGGAGGCCCAACTAAATACTGAGTGCTGTACATGCTCATACTTTTCATGTTCATACTTTTCAGTTGGCCAACATTTCTATAAATCCTTTGTTTTTATTGGTCTTCAGTAATATTCTAATTTTCTGATATGATGAATTTGAGATTTTCATTTGTTGTCATTTGTAATCATCAAAATTAAACAAAATAAACATCTGAAATATATGAGTTTGTATGTAATGTATGAATATAATATACAAGTTTCACTTTTTAAATGGAATTACTGAAATCAATCTACTTTTTCATGATATTCTAATTTTATGACCAGCACCTGTATGCTACCAAACCAAAGTTAAAACGGTTCTAATTTTCAACATTGCCTTTTGACATTATTTAGCAGATTCATTTCCTCATTCCTATTCATCTTCCACTTCCCTAGAAAGAGAAATGCATTTTAATCACACTGCAGGCGTCAGAGATCAGGGCTGCTTCTCATGCTGTCTTCCTCCAGGCAAAACAATACAGCATTTATCCACTGGATGGCGCCAAAGCCAACCAAAACTGAAAGTCCTTTAGAAGCGCTTTAATGCTGATCGTTGTTACTTTTATCTTAAATCAGTATAATGCCCCTCACCATGTTACATACAATGTTGTAATGTATAAATAATTTTGTTTTAAAAATTAAAAGATATTCAGAATGTAGGAAAAACTCTAGAAGCCGTCATGCATTGAGTCGGTCTGTTCTAGGGCTGCAACAACGAATCAATAAAATCGATAAAAATCGACTTTTAAAAGCGTTGGCAACGAATTTCATCATCGATTAGTTGTGTCGTGCGATTAATGCGTCATCCGCCGCCGCCGTCATCACATCCACTTGACTGAAACGGGGGAAGAAAAAAAAATGCGGCAGCGCCGCAGGTGCAGTGTTGCCAACTCAGCTACTTTTCAGACCCCTTCAGCGACTATTTTTCAAAAAAAGCGACTGGCGACAAATCTGGCGACTTTTTACGGTGCCACTGGCGGCTTTTGGAGACTCTTACATGAAAGCATGTATCGTTCCTACTCTGCCGTGGGGCGCCTCCCCCCATCCCAACCCCGTTCTCCCGCAGGAGTCCCTCTCAGCGCTGCAGTCAGAGCCGCAGGATGTTTACCCTCAGCGTCCAGACTGCAAATGAAGCGTGCATGCGCCGGGATTGATGGCGCAAATTTATCAAAATAATTAAAATAGCCTGCGCTTTGTAAAGTGAAAAAAGTCGTAACATGCAACTTTTGTCAAAACAAATGAACATGGCACGGAAGCACCATGTTTTTTTGGTGTTTGTTTAGTGGGGAAATGTACCGTTAGTTTCTCAGGTAGCTCATCTGATGCTTTCCTTACCTTGTTAGTAGGTTATAGACAGTGATAAGGTTGGCTACTTATTTTACTTTTAATTTCATTTGAATTAGCTTAAGCAGCGTTTATATTTTCTTTATAAATAAATTAACTTGCAAATTATGAGGGCAAGGCTTTTAAAGTTTAAATCTTCTGGCGAAGATAAAGTAAAGAAGATCCTGCAATTTATGGAAGTAAAGCAGAATAAAATCCAGCAAGATCAGTAATATGTCAATTAATTATATGCCACATTCCCATGTAAATATCTGTCTTTGGAGGATGTGTTTTTTAGCACCCCTAGTTCTCTCATTTTGATTCCAAATACAATTTATAATTTGAATCACAGGGCTATTTTTATCTCTATGGTTCAGTATTTTCTCAAGTAGCAACTTTAACTGCTATACTTTCCTGTCTTAAAAGGCAGAACTCTTCTAGTCTAAAAAAAAACTCATTTGTGGAAATGGGGGGACCTATTGTTTGAACCCCTTAGGGGCTTTTAAAAACAAAAATGTCTTTTTTTGCACTTTATGAAACAAAGTACACTATATTTTGTGGATGTACAGCTACATTTCTCATGTAAGTTTGCGTAGTTTTAACACAAACATTTATTTTTCATATTGCACCAGTACAGTTAATGAGCAACCTGTACTTGTGTGCTTGTTTGTTCTGTCTAAAATGTTTATTTTGGAATAAAGAGGTTAATATAAAAAATATTTTTTGTCCGATTAATCGAAAAAATAATCGGCCGATTAATCGATTTTTAAAATAATCGTTAGTTGCAGCCCTAGTCTGTTCCAATACAAATATGCTTTAATCCTTTATTCTGACTTTAATCTCAGAATTCTTCTTTTTTCTCACAATTCTGACTCAGAATTCTGACTTTAATCTCAGAATTCTGACTTTAATCTCTGAATTCTGACTTTAATCTCTGAATTCTGACTTTAATCTCAGAATTCTGACTTTAATCTCTGAATTCTGACTTTAATCTCAGAATTCTGACTTTAATCTCTGAATTCTGACGTTAATCTCAGAATTCTGACTTTAATCTCTGAATTCTGACTTTAATTTCTGAATTCTGACAGCTAACAAGAATGTTAGCATCAGCCATGTCTGTTTTAGAGACTAAACTAGCTCTCTTGTCTTAATCACCTTCTGTTCTTCCATTAATGAAAAAGCGTCACCCCTAAGGGACCCTTAGGCACGTTAAAAGTTGCCTAATTTTGTCATTTTCCACCAATGTGTTACTGGCCCTCCCAAAGAACTCACATCTTTGTCAGTAAAGCTGAGTGCTCCCACATCTCTTCCTTCTATTAAAATCCAAAATTCTGAGATTAAAGTCAGAACTCTGAGGGAAAAAAGTCAGCATTCTGACTTTTTCCCATATTAAACTGAAATAATATTTAAAAATCAGTTAACCTGTTTTTATTTTTTCAGTGGCCCTAATCCTCTTCCGTACAATAGACATCCCAGGTTTAAAGTTTAAAGGGCGTAGATTCCAAGGTTTGGGGTCGTGACCCCACCTGCAGTCTTTAGATCCACAACATGAATTGAACTAAACAATATTTATGCTAAAGTGCTTAAAAGATATGGAAGCATAGCTTTAAACTAAACAAAACCAACTTCTTTGGTCGTTGATATTTGTAAAACCGTCACAGCTGGGGTTAACTGATGGCGAATATATTTGTGCGCTTGCCTGATAGTTTGGGTCATGAGTCGACTCTGGTTCCATTCTGTGGGTCAGAAACTGAAAGTTTTAGGAGCCTCTTATTTATGGGAAACACGTGGAAGAAGGAGCTCTGCTCAGAGGAGACTTTTTGGCTGCAATATAAAATGTAAGGAAATCCAATGCTGGGCATCACCTTACAGCCTCACTCTGAAGCATGTTGGTGGCAGGATCATGCTGTGAGGTTTTCTTTTTTAAACCAGAGCCGTACTGAGCTGCTGGATGTGATCCTGTAATGATGATTTATGATGGTAGTCCAACAAAGCAGCTGTTAAATTACACTGAAAAGTATTTTTCCCCCTGAAGTTTTAAGAGTGTTCGTATGTGTGTGGTTTCTAGGTCATTGCTGTGTAACTTGGTGCAAGTGAAGCTGGGCTTCTATGAGCTGGAGGGCAAGAACTCGCTGTCCCTAGAAGACTACCTCAAAGCCTTCATGGAGACGGATGTGAAGCCTCTCTGGCCGAAGGGCTGGATGCAAGCCAGGTGTGTGGAGTGTGCTCAGACCCTCGAGGTCACGCGGCGCCAGCGCCCCCTACAGGCTGCGAATTTCATCCACCAGTTAATCCACTGTTTGGATTTCTGTTTCTAGAATGCTGTTCAAAGAGAGCATCATGGTTCACGGTCATCTAACCGGCTTTACGTGAGAGATCCGTTTCTTTTATGAATAACCATTTTATGCAATTCATCCTTTTTTGTAACATGCTCTGCATTTCGTTGTGTTTTCAGAGCAAAGAAAAAGATGGTTCCAACCCCGAAAGCCAAGCCAAAGGTAAACTTCACCCTTTTTTCTCTTTAAGTTTGCCACTTTTTCTCACATTCACAATTTGCAACTTATTTAAAGCTACAGTGTGTAATAATTACAGGGATATACAGTCAGAAATGTAATATATTATACATAACTATGTTATTTATCATCATGCACGAGCTCAGCCTCTTAACCTTAATATTTGCGTTGCCTTAGAATTCGTTATTTATAATTACATAGGAGCGGGTCTCGCAGCCATGGAGGCAGACATCTTTGCGCTACGGCAAGCGCAGAGGCAACAAACTAGCGATTGCGAGATCGCCAAAACGTCACAACGATGTAGAAAAAATAACGGGTATATTTATTATCTTAAGTCTACATGAAATCTATACCCTACACAGACTAATGAAATACTATCTGTAAAATGATCTATGTAAACAAACCTCATCACTTGAGAAGGTAGGTGATGCGGACGTCGTGGAAGACATTTTGTCCCGTAAAGCTCGCCGTACTGTTGGGGGGGAGAGGCGGTGGGGGGGAGATGTTCATGTTGCTGCAGTCTGCAGTCTGACCGCTAGATGTCGCTAAAAGTTACACACTGTAGCTTTAATAGGAATTTTAGGAAGACATTTATGGCCTTTTTATAGGATTCTACAGAAAACACAAACCTAAATGTCAAGGGCTTTATAAAAACACAAAAGCTGGGAATTAACTCAAATGTCATTCTTTTATAAAAAAAAACAAAAAAAAAACATTCAAAACAAGTTGGATGCAAGATAATTCACCATCAAATCTGGCTTATTATCAGGGTTCCTGCAGATCCTTAAAAATTCTTAAAAGGCATTGCATTCTTCAATATAAAAATAAGGCCTTAATTGGTATTAGAATGCCTTAAATCAGTCTTTCATAAGTCTAAAATTGCCACCAAGTCATAAATAGGATTTTATTTTTGTAGATCATATCAAAAATGAAAATAATTCACAATAATTTTTTGGCATTTAACAAACGGCTTAGCTGTAAACATTATTAGTTCCATCCTGAAAGCAGAAGCAATAAAAATAATGTCTCAAACAGACCTTGGGGTGATGCGCCTATAACTTTTTATCTGGACAGCGTGGGGAAGTGTAAATTCAATGAAAATTGGCTTTCCAGCCAACAGTTTTCTGCATTGCCAAGAACAGTTCCAGGTCATTTTTATGAGGAATGGCGTACTTTGAGCAAGAAGTCATTCAAGCTCGGCAGGATGGGAATCAAAGCTGTGGAGTCAGACGTGAAGAGTGGAAAATAAAGCGCCAAAATCGAGTTACAGAGAAGCAGCAGCTATTTCCCAGTTCTGTTCCACTATTGACTCTGCGAAGCCTCTACAGCTATATCTGATGTCCATAAATGCACCAGTAGCAGCAAATCTCCAGATAATGTTTGGTGGTTCGTCTGCAATGAAAACAGAGCTATTATAGACTTAGATTAGGGATCAAAACAAAGTTTGTGAATTCCATTCATTAGTTGTTAAAAATATATCTGTTATTAGTGTGTTTTTAGCTTTCATCCTATATGGAAAGTTTTTCAAAACGGTAAACATTTCTAATGGGCCAGAAAGTAATGGTTTATGTTAAAATAAGCATCAGCTTAAAGGAATAGTACACCCAAAACATGATTAGCCTTCATTTTCTACTCACCCCCATGCTGAACAACACTCTGGAGTACTTTTTTGATATCTCAAATGCATCTGGAGATCTGGGAGGCTTCTTGCTGTCTGCTGACATTCAAATAATGGAGGTCTATGGTGACCGAGACAGAAAGGTCCATAAAAGTCCACAAAAAACGTGTCAATATTCCTCCATACTGCTCGTCCAATGTATTCCAAGTGTCCTGAGTGGGTAGCATCCAGAATTTACTCAAAACGAAGTCATTTAGAATGTTTTTCGAGCATAAACAGTAGTGTATAGGATTTCCTGAAAGCGCGCACCTGCGCGATCACGACGCTACGGAAGCCGGCAGACCAAACCAGATGAAAGTGCGCATTCAGCGTCTGCTCTGCTGATAATGCAAGCTTAGAAGAAGAAATGTGCTGTTTACCTGTGCAAAGAAAGAAACAACGAAAGAAAAATGTCTGAGGACTTCAGTGTTGAGGAAGAGCATGAGTTCTTTGCCGAGCTGAATGCGCTGGTTTGGTCTGCCGGCTTCCGTAGACTCGTGAACTCGCTTTTAGGAAATCCTATACACTACTGTTTATGTTCTAAAAACATTCTAATGACATTCTAAATGACAGCTGTGGCTACAATGTAGCTTGTCACCATCAGTGTGTGAGTGTGTGTATGAATGTAGTGTAAAGCGCTCTGGTCAAGTCTCCTGACTTGAATAAAGGCGCTATATAAGTACATTTACCAATTTAAAAAAGGGGGGAAAAAAGATTTAGAAGTCTGAATTCTGAGATTCTTGAGGAAAAAAAGTCCGAATTCTGTAATTAAAGTGGTTATGGATAAATGGATGGAGTTTAAAAAAGTGAGAAAAAGAGATTTAACTTCATAAAGTGTTAATTGTAGTTGAACATCAGTGATTCCCAGAGGAAAAAAACATAACATTGTTGTAGCTCTGCCTGTTTTACAGAATAAAATTCAGTGGTTGGAAAAGCATCATTTTTAAAAAGGCTTATTTTTAACAAACATAAATCTGCAAAGTATAACCTGTATAGAGGTAGTGGCAACAAGTTATTAAAAGTGACTGAATGCTACAACTAAACATTGATGCCTTTCAAAATGTCTCCCTCAAGAAGCCTCCATGCGAAACGCATGAACTGTAAATTACTCGCTAAGGAAAATCTAGAGACGCCACAGTTATTACCATCAGTGTTAAATCATTTTCTAACCGTTGTATTTCTACTTTATGGTAAAACACAGTTTATATTTAGCTTCAAGTTAAACTTTTTTGTTTTTATACATTTTTATAAATTTGGCGGCGCCCTGCCCCTGCATTAGAGTACTCTCTGGAAAATGGGTCCAAACTCGTTTGTGAACCAGAATAAAGCGCCAGACCTGCCTTCAAAGCCCTGCAGGTTTATTTGCAGAAAAATAGGATTTTTACAAATTATTGAAACAAAAATGAAAAATGTTTATGTTTTAAAAACAGAAATTAAGATTCATCCAATGTGACAAAATAGGCAGAAGCTCATCTAATATTTAGAAGAAGCCTGACGGCCTGCTGTGTTCTTACAGGAAGTAACGTGGGTTCAGCGCCCCACCCCTTCAGTGGGGGCCACACCGTCCCCCGCTGCCCAGGTTGCCAAGCGACCTCCTCACTCGCCGCCAGGGACCATATGCCTGGACTCCCTCGACGAGGCTCCCTCCCTGGACTCCATCTCTCAGGCCCTGGCCATCCTCGGCAACGCGGCCAAGGGTTTGGCTCAGGGGGACACTCCGCCTTCGCCGGAGCGACCCAAGACCTCCAGCAACGCCCCCAGCCTGCACGCCTCGCCGCTCCTCCAGACGCAGAAGAAGAACCCCGTCAGTACTCCCAGCTCCAGCACACCTCACTACATCTCTACCTCTTCATCGCCCTCCCCCTCCCTGTCCCGGCCCGCCGCGTCCTCTCTGACCTCCGTGAGGGTGGAGGGGGCGGGGCTTGTTAAGGGCACGCCGCAGCAGAACAGACACACGGTTCTGAACACTCAGAGACCTTTAAGCGTGGGCGTGAGCAAAGCAAACATGCCCGTTTCAGTTTCTCCGCCGAAACCACGTCCTCCCCCCACCGCATCTCCGCTAGTGGCCCCGGGACCGAAGGCGGGGGTCTCCGTCTCCCCCTCCGGCCTCCTCAAAGGCAGCAATAATAAATCCACCAGTGGGGACACCATCATCATCACTTCAACGTCGTCTCGGCCGCACACCCTCACGACGCCATCGCTCATCAAAACCTTCCAGACGTCCCGCCTGCCCCAGATCAAACCCCCCACCTCCCTCCCGCAGACCCAGCCTCAGCCGCAGTCTAACTTCATCACCCCCATGCACGCCACCCTCACCAAGTCAACCCACAGCAGCATCCCACCCATCGTCAAGCTCACCCCCCGTGCCCCCACCCCCGCCGCCCCCTCCTCCACGTCCTCGGCCTCCGTCCCTCAGAACCCTCGCTCTCAGGCAGCGCCCGCCGTACACCAGTACACTCCCAAAACCCAGGCCAGCTTCCGGCCGCCGTTCTCAGGTGCTTCAGGGGGAGTCGCCAAGTCGGGTCAGGGCAGCTACACTCCTCAAAGCGGCCAGAAGACCCCCGGTGTCATCAGCGCCACCAACACCAGCCTTATAAACACCTCATCTATGAGCAAGCATTCAGGAAGCAGTGCCTCCATGGCAGCAGCCTCAGCGACCCCGGGCCAGCGTCAGCGCGCAGTGGGCGGGGCACCTCAGGGGGCCAAGCCAGTGGTGTCTGTCCCGCTGTCCTCGGTCTCCTCTCAGCTACCGCAGGTAAGCATCAGCGGGGGTCCGAACTGCCCCGATGTTTGATCCAGATCAGGGAATTTAAACCCTTTTTTTTCTCGCTCAGGTTTCCACGACAGGAAACGCCGGTCTCCTTGGCTCCGCCTCCTCCCTTCCCCTGGGCTTCGGGATGCTGGGGGGCCTGGTGCCCGTATCGCTGCCGTTCCAGTTCTCCCCCATGCTGAACCTGTCCCAGCTGGGCAGCGGACCCTCCAACACGGCGACCAGCAGCTCGGCGGCCAGCAGCAGCGCCGCCTTCTCCACCTTAACCCAGAGTGAGTGGAAGGAAAAAAGAGGCGGAGCGTTTCTGTTTGTCTGAGTCCCCCTTCTGTTTGATGTTTGTCGGCATCATTTGTTTGATCACCATATCGTTTGTCTGAACGTAATTAATGTTTTTCTATTTCATTTTGTTCATCTCCCTCATCCTCTCTTTCCTCCCCTACCTTCCACCCTGATATCTGCCTGTTTCCTCCCTCCTCCTCCTTCTCCTCTGTATTGTTGGCATCTTTCTCCTCCCCTCCTCGTCGCCCTGTCCTGTCTCCTCAGATCTGTATAAGAGTCTCCAGTCAGGGTCTCAGGTTGCTCTGCCTCCTCACTTGCAGCTCGCTTTCTCAGGTAAAATCTGACCCCTCCTGTTCCTCCAAGCCTGCTCCACCTCCTCTCCTCCTCAGCCTGTTCTCTTTAAGTGTCTGCTGTTCGGTTTTTCCGGCTGTCTGGTTCTGTTCTCATCTGTCGGTGGCAGCATGTCTCGGTGGAGTTGATTTGATTTCTGTTTTGATGTGTAAAACACCCTTAATCTACATTATAAATATCCAAACTTTAATTTGAATGTTTGTTTTTCTGTTGCTATAAATTCATGGCCCCTTTCAGAGTTTCTTTGAAATAAATGTCCGAACGAACTATCTGGATCTTGGCATCAAACAAAAGGTTGATACAGGGAGAAGCAACAATGCCCACTGTAATGTACAGTGGAGGATCTGTGATGCTGTGGGCCTGTTTGCTCTGTTTCCAGGAATGTTTTTTTGTGAGTAAAATGACATCTTGAAATCTTTGCTATAGCAAAAGATTTAAGGTAGGGCGGGGTCATTAATCACCTTTTTGTTTATGAAGGTTTCAAGTTTTGGCAAATTTTAGATCTAATTTAGTCCAGAAGTAATTTTGTTCATGTAAACGTATCTAGTGACATCACTTCCTTCTGAGGTCTCATTACCACCGACTGCTGACATTTAGTTGGTTATATTTACATTGCTGTGAAACCCGATTATTTAACAATCAGATTTCATTGCTTTAATTTTGTTGCCCTTTAAATTTACCTTATTAAAGGCGACTTTAAAAGCAAAAATTCTTTTTTTTTTTTTTTATGAAATTCAAGTGAGGAAGGGAATCGATTGAACAGATTCGGTAGGAAAATATCAGGTAATTAATTCCAAACAAAAGTTAAAAACAATTCACTGGACTTTGTTTCCAAGTTTGAAGACATTTCGTTTTCTATGCAGGAAGCTTTTTCAATTTAAAATGTCAAAAATGGTGTTGAGTTCAAGATTTTATAGAGTGGACCAAAGCAAAGACTTGTTTTGGCTTAGAAATCATGTAAATGGAACCTGACGTGCGGGTCGCCTCACCTCGTCAGCCAGGCCAACAATCCCCTTTAATGACGCTCCTTTCAGAGACATAGACGGGTTTGGGGTATTACAGGCTAACAAAACGACCCCCAGTCCAAAGCGGCAGACCCACTCATAAGGTTCATTTTGCATGTTTTCTGAGCCAAAACAAGGCTTTGCTTTGGTCCACTCTATAAAACCTTGAGCTCATTTTATTTCTGACATTTAGAATTTAAAAATCTTCCTGGATGGGAAGCAAAATGTCTTCAAACTTGTAAACAAAGTCCAGTGGATTGTTTTTTTTTTGTTTAGTGATCTGGATGACTGAGAATCTTCACCAACATAATAGATAAGTCCTCTTGTCCAGCCCTATTTATTCTCTGTTTTAAAGACTTATTTCTTCATTTTCTTCTTTCTTTCCTCTAGTTCTCTTTCCCTTCCTCTCTTGAGTCTTTTCTTTTTTTTCTCCTACCTTTTCATTTTCCCTCTTGACTTTCCTTGATCAATCTTTATCTTGTCTTCTTCCCATATTGTTTCCTTTCTTTCTTACCTCTGTTCTTATTTCTTTCTCTCTTTCAGCCTTGTGTAACATTAGAGCTGGACAATCATGCAGTATCCATATATATATCAAAATCATTTAATTCAGTATTGGGGACTTTTACACAAATTTTAGATTTTTCAATATAGTCTATGAATACAGCAATTTCTTTTGCAGTTTTGTGTTTTTAAAAGTAAAGCTTTTAGAACTTCATATTACATCAAATATCTTGTCAGTCTTTCAGGCTATTTTTTAATTTCATATCTAAGATATGTTATGCTGACAAAATTTAAGGAATATTGTGATCAAAGTTTTTATCTTCTTTCCTTTTGTAGAAGATCAAGGATTTTTGTGTTTGTCTTTTAAAGGGAAAAAACTAATTGAGAGTTTTGTATTTTCAGGAAGGTTGTTATTTAACTAAAGGAGAGGAAATCCAGATATTGACCTGATCCAATTCTTAAATGTTTTACCAGAAAAAAAAAAAAACAATCTGTCTTCCATGATCATCTCAGTTCCTTCCTAGATCTAAACACTATAGAACATCTGGGATGAGGAGAGAAACCAGGACTGACAGACGATAAATTTTTTTCTGTCCACTTTTCAAATCAAGCTGATTTTTACAGGAAGTTTCTCCCAGATTTTATTTAAATTTTTTTTTTTGCCACCATGCACCATTCTCTGACAGAGAGGCAGGCCCGCAGCATCACAGTGCCTCCACTTTACAAATGGCATGAGGTGCTTTTCCCAAATATCACCTCTTCTTAGAAGCATGTGTTTATTTTCGGTACCAGCAACAACAAACAAAAAAATCACTTATTAGAGATAAAAAGCATTTAAAAAAATACCCAGATGAAAGGTTTGGTGTTTAGGGGAAAGAGGAGTTGATCGATCCTTAGGTCTGAGTGTTTGCATCACACGCTGTGCTTCAGCTTTTGTTCTTTTCTCCCCCAGATGTCGGTCAGAGCCAGGGAGGCGACACTAAGAGGAAGACTCTATGATCCGAGTGGACTTGGTCACCCGTCTAATAATGCAAAGGAGGGGAGGGGCAGATCTGGAATAGATCATGTTTAATAAGGGTCTGGAATCCAGTAGGCTTCACCTCAGCAAATCTTAGAATCACATTTTTAAGACTATTTTATAACTCTTTTTTTAGAGCTGGCAGATAGTTTGTCAATGTTTACAAAACCGACCTTTAACACTGTGGACGGGGAGTAATGAATGGGTTGAGTGTAGACATGTCTGGACTGTGTGCCTTTTGGACGTCTCCCACTCTGATGCATGGTCAGTTTGTCTACTCGGTGCTGTTTTTGGTTATAATAATGTAATTATCACTGAAATCTGTAAGAATTGTAAACTGCAAAATGAATTTGAGCTTTTTTTTTTTAAAGAGATGTACATGTTTTTAAATGTACTTGAATAATTTGAGGGATTGTTTCTGTATAGACCGTGAGTTGAAAGAAAATCCTAATGATGCTATCATTAAATATTTCTGCCAAAGGTTTGACAACCTGGCTTAATAGCACAGCAGACGCTGTCATGGTGCATTCAAGTACACCTTGTAAATGTAAAAATGTATTTTGAAATGCTCTTTGAAATAGTAAAAGTTTTTTTTTTTTTACTTGTTTTTTCTAGTGTCTATAAAATATGCATGCTACCGGTAATCTTTCTGGATCCTAAAGCTTGAGATTAATAATCTCAATGGCAGCTTAACAGACCTTTTTCCTCCTAACTGACATTTAAGGAGTTTCTGGAGAAATGATACCAAAAAAAGCAGAAATATTTAAAGTTTTTTTTTTACTAACATTTTATCTACAAATACCCAAACAGATGCAAAAGACATCTAAGGAAATTGGATTTAATTGAAACCACTGGTAGGCTTTGTAATCGGTTTAAGTTAGACATGGATTAACACAAATCACAATGAAGGCATGTAAAAGATACCACAACCAAAGAAGACAAAATATAAAAAAAGAAAAAAAAGGTGTCGGCCAGAGCAGTTTGTGAAAAGACAGTGAAGTTGACTTCCACTGGCAGTAAGAGGAGGTGGTTACAGGTTGTGTCCACACTGAAGCTCCTCCCCCTCCGTAGGTTTCCACGCCGAGCGTCGTCGTTTCGCCTATTTGACCAGAGGTCTGGTTTTATCGTCGTCGCTGCACTGGTGGGCTTTGTACTTTTTCACCTCAGCCATGTACTTAGACCAAGCATCGCTCTTGCCTGGTTCAGCCTGCGGGGCAGAAGTTAAGGATTACGCACAGTTTAACGCCAACCAGTGATTCAACATGTGGAGCTAGCAAAGCACCGATCAGGCTCATCCGTTTCCTCTAAGGTCTGACCTGCTGATTTCTATTTAGAGTGAAAAAACTGAACCGAACTGCACTTCAGTCCATTATTACAGACCCCAGAGTGTCTGACCTTTCAACTCAAACACTCCAAGGAACCTAATGTTCACCAACAGATTCAGACAAAACAATGAATCTCTCAGATTCATGAATAGATAAGATATTTTCCATGATTATTCTGCTGGCCACTATTTAGGGGCTGACAAAAAGTCTGATCAATCGAAATTCAATTCAGTTTATTTATATAGCCCAAATTCACAACACGTTAACTGAAGGTACTCCTGAAACTCAAATCAGCCTGACATGGAGGGATTTTATTGGCATGTTTTATAAACTAATGAAAGTACTTAAATTATTCAAGATAAAGCGAAGGGACACATGATAAAAATAATCCTGTAATTCATTAAAACATCTCGAACCAATATTAGCCTAATTTGTCATGTTTTAATATATCAGTATGCAGCTATCGGTGTATACTGACTGACTAACCAAAACCTATTGGTCCTTTGAACCAATCTCATATTAAGCTTATTTTATTTCAACCTGACTTAACAGCCAAAATGTTTCACTTTCAGTTACCCTGATAGGATCAGCTTTCATGTGACTGTGGAGCACTAATGCAAACTGAACTGTTGTCCAATTTTCTTCTGTGCCCCCTTAAAAAAAACAACAACAGCCCCATCCCAACTACAACCTGATGTGGAAACTCTCCTATATAAGGACCTTTCCCAGTCGGTTGCTACTCCCTCACCCGACCCACTTCTCACTCAAGCAGCCCCAAATTGTGGTCGGCATGGAAGACAGGACATAACTTCCTTTTATGCGTCTCACACATTCATGAAGCAAAGAAACACTAACAAAAATGATTTCACACAGGCTATAGAAAATAATTTTGTTAAAAGTTCAATTGTTTTTGACAAGTTTCCAAACGGTTACAAATAAACTTATAACTAGAAGGTTTTTAAAAAATTGGGGTTAATGAAATATTTTCTTAGATCCATTAAAGTACCCTGGATAAGCTTAATTTATCGTTACAGTTTAACAGCATGCAGGTGAGCGCAGATCGTAGAAAGACTTTATAAAGTACTGAGGTCCATTAAATTATTTTAGTAAACAATCTGAAATATATACAACATGTAATGTATATATAAACAAACATGAATTAATATAATGGATAAAAATGTTATAGCTCAAAAAACCTCTTAGTATTAAAGGTGTAGTGGAGGATAATCTTTTTCCGGGTGGATCAAAAAAATAACTGGTCTTCCTAATAGTCAATCATTTTGGTGAAATGTTTACGTGCTTCTCCTTATTTTCACTTACTGGAGGTGAGTCTGACATAGTGGAAAAATTGCAAATATTTTGAGTAAGCTTGTATGATCTATGCAAGCAGCAACTTTTTAACAGCGTGCACACTAAGAAATGGGCTCGTGCACTTTAATAAGCGTTACCTCTCGGGAGCGGGTACAGGGCTTTGCGTGTGCATTTTTTTTTTTAAGTGCAGAGGGCGGGACTTTAGAAAAATTCCCCAAAATTCTCCACCAATACTGTAGAGAGCAAATAATTTATAATTAGGACAATAAAAATAGGATGAACACGGGGCGATTTTCTTATTTCTTTTCCAATTCTGATATCATTTTGATGGTCTTCCTTTAGTTAAAGTTTGTTGTTAATTTAGTAGTAAATAACTTAATGTACAATGGTGCTGTGTTACATTCTTATTAATCTCCAACGGTAAAATAATCCAAAGTTTCACCCTGTTTCTACCTCAGATCAGCTGTGCGCACCTCCGGTTGGTATATATATATATATATATATATATGCATAGATTTTGTCCATTTCTTATTATAAATAATAAATATCGAGTTTTTTGTATTCTTCATAGTTTTTTATTAGCCTACTAAGGATTGTTTTTGTGTCCCCGACTTTTTGGCGATGCGTGGGCATATCCGATTGGGAGAGGCCCTAAGCTGCAAGTATCATGTCCCTCGCTGAATAGTCGATTTACCATAAACACAAGAGCTAATTGACCTTTAATATTAAATAAATCATTTTTTGGCTCTCTGATGTTAGATTTAACAAAAAGGGTGGATGTGGCCTCAAATTTAGATGCAACTCAATGACTTCTCCATCTGCTAGCAGATTCCAAAACACTGCGACAGTTTCATTTTACAACAGAGTAGAAGGTCTAGGTCTAATGCCCCCATTATGTTTTGAAGTCTAACACTTATCTGAATCTGCAGCAGTTATTTATTGCATGTTTGCTGCAATCCATGACTTTACACTATAAGAAATATCTGGATGAGAGCTGCTAATAGAGCCTGATGGGTGCATTCCCAGCCATCATGGCTCCATCTGACCTCCACTCACCTCTGAGTCCTGTTTCTGCTTCTTGGCAACCATTCCCGTCTTTAGGAACACACCGCCCCGGCGCTTCCCCACCTGGGTTAGGGGATAGAAGACTGAAACCGTTACAGTGGTCCTTGTAGACTGGATTGCCAATGAAGGAAACTACACCAGAGCAGAGGGGCTACATTTAGCCTCCTGCTGCACCACCAGTGAAGAGCATCCCTAAACCTTTTACCTCTATTGGCTGGAATATTAACACTGGTGTCTACTTATAAATAACGATATCAGGAGGAAAAAAAATCACTGACATATGTGGACATTATAAATCACATATGGATGAAAAAGTGTTTCAGCTTTGGCTCATCTTACAACTGCTAAACCCCTTACAAAGCTGGTCACAGGAGGGGCCTTCTTTTCCACTGAGGTCTGTCCTTGCTCGGTGGCTCTCGCCTCTCCACCTGTTCCCTGCGCCTCCCTTTTCCTCTTCTCCTCCTCCATCTTCTTCTTAAAAATCTCCATGAAGCTGCCGTCGTTGGCGAACACGTTGGCCACCGCAGGGGCCGCTGCTGCTGCGGGGCTGCCGGATGGAGAAGCGGGGCTGGAGCCCCCGCTGCTGCTGCCGCCGCTGGTCTTGTGTTTGCCGTGTGCTCGCTGAGGATCCATGTCCTCCGGTGTAACTTTCAGAAACAGACGCACAGTCCGGCGGGTCAAAATGAGCCGCTAATATTTCTTTATGTGGCCTTTAAAAAGCAACTAACTACCAACTGGAGCCAGTAAAGAAACAAATATAAAGAGACTGGCGTGGTTTCTAAAAAACGGGCCTAAAAGGAACAGAAAACGTCCTTCTTCCGGTGCAGAAATTCGAGAAAAACAAAAGCAGTCGCAGGCTAACCTGCTAACGTGGCTAACACCCGTTTTCTAAGGCCTCCCTGTGTAAAAAACAAACCGCCATCCACCTTAAACCTCTCTTGTGGATCGATCAACGCATTAAAATCTAATCTACAATGCGATAGAAGCGTCGAATTTCAACACCGATCTAAAGTAACGTAAAAGATTTATTGTTGCTAACTCTCGCCACCCATCACCGTCGGTCGGCCATCTTTATTTTTTCTGCTATGCGCTTTGTGCCTCTAGCGCCCCCTCCTGGCTCGGTGCAACATCAGGTATAGGTTTATACAACAAAGTGACGCCAGGGGGCGCTGCTGCTTTTTAAAACCCATTTGGACTCTAGGACAGCAGTGGTGTCAAAAGTACACACATTTGTTACTTAAGTACTGCAGTTTAAAAACACTCTGGTAAAAGTTGAAGTATCAACTTGACCTCTTTACTCCAATAAATGTGAAAAAGTATGTGCTCCAAAAACTACTTAAAGTATAAAAGTATAAAGTAACCTTTAAAAAAAACAGCCAGATCCCACTGTATGAATTGAAAGCTCAGTTTTTCGACTATTTCAAAAAATCCTTTGAGATAGGACCAAGGATGAAGGAGGTCTTGCTGGTCTCCGTCTCCCGATGCACTCTCGCCTGTGTCCGACCTTTCAGACGTTTCAACATCTTTTTCTGACTCCAAAATTGTAGCATGGCATAGACAATTCACGTTTGCAGTTTGAAGAACAGCTGCTTGCTTCTGATGATTTCCTTTAGGTAACCAATGAGTGTTTGCATTATATGACTCATCCAATTACACTAGTTTTCACAAGATGGGGATGGAGCCAATGATCTGCATTGGATGGCGCACATGACGTGAAATAAATATTTATAAACATTAAACCGAAGCCAAGAATAACGAGTAACATTTGTTTTAAAAAATGTAAGGAATAGAAAGTACATATACTTGTGTGAAAATGTAATGATTAGAAGTCAGAAGTAGGAAGAAAAAAAAAGTAATGGAGTAAAGTATAGATACCTAAAAAGTGTACTTAAGTACAGTAACAAAGTATTTGTACTTCGTGACTTGACACCTCTGTAATTCAGTTTATTTCTATAGCGCCAATTCACAACACACGTCATCTCAAGGTAATTTATAGTTCACTAGATCATACAGTCAAATTGATTAATCTAATTGATTCTATCTAAGGAAAAACAGCTGATTGCATCGTCTCATTGACTGGAATGCAATCTCTCACACTAAGCATGCTTGTAGCGACAGTGGAGAGGAAAAACTCCCTTTTAATAGGAAGAAACCTCCAGCAGAACCAGGCTCAGTGTGAGCGGCCATCTGCTGAGGCCGTCTGGGGTTCAAGGAGACAGAAGCAGAGATACTAAAGGCAGCTGTCCAGGAAACACACAGCCAGATGAGCTCTGAGCCAGCTCCCATGTCAGAGGATGAAGACAGTCACGTCAGAGAAACAGGACTACACTGAAAAAGTGGCCAATGTCCAACATCTATAAACAAAGGTGTTGATGGCAGCAGCACAGCTGATATTTATCCAGGAGTCACAGCCAAACAGGAACAGACGAGGTGAAGCTACTATGAGAAAAAAACAGAGAGAGCATAATGTTAGAGATTGAACAAACAGATTCTACAGAGTGGGAGAATAGAGATAGAAAGAGGCAGAATGATGAAATGGGGGTCCCTATGTCCTCCATAAGTCTAAACCTATAGCAGCATAACTATAGAGATAGCTCAGGATAACCTGAGCCACTCTAACTATAAGATTTATCAAAAAGGAAAGTTTTAAGCCTAGCCTTAAAAGTAGACAGGGTGTCTGCCTCACGGACTAAAACTGGTAGTTGGTTCCACAGGAGAGGAGCCTGATAACTAAAAGAGCTGCCTCCCATTCTACTTTTAGAAATTCTAGGATCCAATTCTAGGACCAATATCCTGTAAAGTGAAAATATATCATAGGGACAGAAAATGGTCTAACACTTGTTCAAATTTAGGCATGAGAATGAAAATATTTTTGCACATTTCTAAAAAGGATAACATCTATTTGTGACTTTTTCTTAGACTTAGGCAAATTTTATTTTAAATTTGTATACACAGAGAATCTGTCTGTCCTGCATTAAATGCTGCAAAGCCTCCACTAAGAAGGCAGCAGGGAGAACAGTCCATGGTGGGGGTGTGAGGGGTCATTAATGGTGTTACGGGCTCAGGACACACAGCGCTGGGATAACATGTCTTTTATGGAGGGAGGAGGAGCCCCGATGATCCTCTCTGCTATTCTCACCACTCTTCTCACCTTCTTCCAGTCTGAGGCGCTGCAGCCTCCACACCACACAGTGAGACAGCTGGTCAGAACGCTCTCTATGGTGCTTCTGTAGAAGGTGGTGAGAATGGGTGGGGGCAGGTGGGCTCTCCTCATCCTTTGCAGGAAGAACAAGCGCTTATGTGACCTTTTGACTAGTGAGGTAACGTTTACAGTCCAGTCTTATTACCAAAAAACAACCAGTAATAAGGTTTGGCTTTTTACTGTTAGATTCCATTAAGTTCTATATATATATAAAAAAAAGAATAAAACAAAAGTAAGAAAACGTCACTTTGGAACATCAAAAGTCCCTAGAAGCGAGCTTGTTTGCAGGCATTGTTTAGTGCATTTGTTTGATGGAAACGAAGCTTTTTCAGTGTAAATTCTGAATTATTGACCTTAGGGTTGCTTAACCTTGGATTTTTGAGGTAGAGTTTGAATAATGAAGGCAAATTAAGCCAAAATTGGATAATCTTCCAGTTAGTTTTATTTTTTTTCCGGTTTGACTGTTTTCTTTGCTTTGGCCCATCGACAGTCGTGGTTGCAGGAAATATTGACAGGGGTGGCCAGTGGCCAGGTGGGTATCGATGTGCTCTGAGGGGTGGCAAAAAACCAACAGTAGCCAAAAACATTTTTTTTGTCAATCTATGCTGATCACAATAAAGCAACAGAAAAACAAGCAAACAGCATCTATATTTTCCAAATAAACCACTAAAGACAGTCCACATTTACATGAGGCCCTTACTAATTAAGACACACCAGCTAATATGTTGGCACTGTTTATGTTAATTTATGGTTCTACATAATATACACACTGAATAGGTTAATAGTCGTTCTTTATCTTGAATTACATTGAAGACTCTTAGATGACTGCAGAGACAAACTCTCTGCTATAAAACCTAAAATCTAATTCTTAAAAGCGCAATAAATCTGTTTTAGTCATCTTTCTTTGTAGTAAAACTTTTTGAATATTTTTATTTGTATTTTTTGTGAGCTTTTAAGCACATTCGACTTGTTGGCATCACTGCTGCCACCTTCTGGTTTAGAGAAGAACTGCTGGTTTCAGGTGAGAATAACAAATCAGCTGGGAGGGGGGGGCCAATGATTGGCTAGGCGGGGCCATGGCCCCTCTGCCTGCCCCTCTAAATCCACCCCTGCCTTTAATTACATTTATAAATGCCTTTTTCTGCTTTGATTGTCTGAAAAGTTACATAATTCTGTAAAAGAAAATGGTACTGAATCAAGCCTAACCTAATATACTTTATCTCACCTAAACTTTTCTTTCTTGCAACCTTTAATTTTTATAACAACTTGGCTTAAAATGAGTGCTGAGGATTTTTTCTAGTTTCCTGCTTGTGTGTATATAAAGTGATTTATATTTCTAAAGGGTAATTTAATTGTTGCATGGTATATTTTATATAATTTATTGAATTAATAAATGTTTGTTTCATGGTAAATGTATTTATTTCTTGAGAAATTCATGTTTATGTGTTTCATAATAAGGTTTTGTGCCTTTATATACCTTATAGATCAAATCAAAAAACCTTTTGACCCCCAGATAGTAGAGAAAGTTAGTTGTTGCTGGTTAGTTGTGTTCGGGGATATATATCTGACATAAAATAACTGAAAACGGATCACTAACCTCTCAATTGATCATCAGGTCATAAATACTGTGTAGTTAAAATGGCTGTTATGGTTTAATGGTTCTGGGAGGAGGTGGATTCAAAGTACAGGGGTTTGTCTTCAGCTCATTATTAAAGGTTGAAAGGAAATAAAGCTCCTTGTTATTCTGCTGTGAAGCGTTGGGTTTTACCAAATGATCACTAGTTGATCAAAATAGTGAAACAAAAGTAAAAAAAAGCTGCTTTAATCTGCATGAAGAAAGAATGTGCCCTACATCCCAGACAGCGCTCTGCTAAACTGAATCGTTCCCCTGGTTAAGATGTGTAACAATCTAATCTGTTAGGTTTTACCTTTTTAAGGAATAATTAGCAGTTATGAGAAAGAGCTGTGGGGCCTGTAGGTGTGGAACAATCATGTAATTTCTGCTCCAGCTCAATATGTCGATTAATAATCAACCCTTCAGTGATGAATTCTGAAATAAAGCGTATTGTTTGAAGCCATTTGACCTTATTTGTTCTCTTCTGGTGACTCCAGGTTACCAGAATCTACAGCAGCTCTGCTAGCGCCGTGGAAACGGGTAAATGACGCCCTCCCATAGTTGACTTGGCTGTTCTGACATTTGCACAAAGGATGTGAGAATTTTGACTAATCATCTCGGCCTTTAGACAGAGAGAGGATTATCACAGCGCCTCAGGAAATCTACACTTTTCCACATTTTTAAAATCACTTGGAGAAAATTTCACTGCTTTACATCTTTAAATTCTGAAAAGTGTGGGGTGCATGTTTTTTTAAAACTCCATATCAATTCTTGTTCAAAAAGTTTTTGTAACTACTTCTAAGTCTTTTTATGTCTCTGTCAGCTCTGCATTTCCCAACAGCATGACGCAGCCACCACCAGACCACCAGATTTTGTCAAGAGAACATAATTAAGATTAGAAAATCCTGCTTCATTTCCTTCTGTTACATCATGAAAAACATGAAATTATGTTGCATTTGTAGCAAGGCTCTATAGCTTGTTTTAGGCTCCATGTATGAAGCTTCTAAGGGTTAATGTAGAAAAATCAAACAGATGCGATCATCTTTAGATCCAGTTTATTTGCGCTGCAGCAGTAGAAAAGGACAGCAGCTCTCGGACTTGCCTCAGATCTCTATTGTAGAACCGCATCTAGCAGACCACAGTGTGACAAACGCATGCAGAACCCCCTCCACACCATGCAAATGCTATATAGCTACAACTTTAACTCATAAATAACCTTTAAATGAATAAACCCCAAAGAAAAAAAAATAACATGCACAAGAAAAGGATGGTGGCCTGCGTAGATGACGGCACATTAACAAGTAAGAAGACTGCAAGTCCTGATATTGGGACGAGGAAAAAAAAGAAAAAAAGATTAGATCAAAAAACAAAATGTAAAGAAAAGGCAGGTTTAGTGTTTGATCGATGCGCTACGTGTCGCATGCTCTGTCTTTTATCTGCCACTCGCTTCCTGTCAGAAAACGTTGAAGGTTCAAGCGTTACGTGCTTCTCCTTCCGTGTGAATGAGGCTTAGCAGCAGAAAAAAATGAACTCCTAATCAGTAGTTTTCTCATTCACAGACTCCAGCAGCAAGTCATACAAGATACCCTGTTCTAACAATTAGCTTGATAAGAACGGAAAAAAATAACTAAATCACAGTGTTGAGAATACAAACCAACAGATTATATGAACATAAAACACAACCATAAATCAGTGATTTAAGAATAAAAGCGGTTGATCGATATCCTTCTGAGAGGCACCAAATAAATCCAGCTTTCTAAGAAGAACAAAACTAACAAAACAAAACTAAAAGAACTGGAGAAAATACAAAGCGAAGGGATCTCAGTCCACTTTGTTCCGAATAAAACATCCTTCATCGTATTAAAACCGACTTAACCTACTCTGTTAGTGCTCTTTATCCTATAATTGAATATAAAATGATGAAAATAAGTTACAGAAAAAACAAAAATCACCTGAAAAGGTGAAAAAAAAAAAAAAAAAAAAAAAATCCCCCAGCTTTATGCACGTTTCCATTCCTGTCTGTGAGTCTCAGTGGTAGTCTCCACTGAGGCGTGTTAACAGCAAGCAGGGGGCAGTAGCAGCATGAGAGTGGAAGAAAACATCCAGCGAAGGCATCGAGGTAAAGGTGCAGAGAGTTCAGAGGGAGTCTCAATCTTCCCGCCTTTGCTTGATCTCAGAGAAGCTTCCTGCCTGGAGGTCTCTTCTCATCTGGGATGGTGTCGCATCAGGCCCCTCTTGGCATTGGTGGACTGTCTCTGCTGGGCCAGGAAAGACATGGCCTGGTTGGAGGGTCCAAGCCGCGTTTCAGACACCTGCTGATGCAAAGCCATACCCTGAGGAGGAACAGCAGGAGGACACAGATTTAGAGACGGAACGCTGGACGAGAAGTGAGACACACCCCCTGATACTAACCATGTTATACCAGGCAGAGATGATGAGTTTCTCCTCCTGGTTCTGTCTGGCTTTGCTCCTTTCATAGTCGTGCTAGAAAAAAGGAAAACATCGATCGGTGTTAGTGAGGCTTTAATGAGCAGAGGAATCAATCTCAGCTCTGCTGCTGCTTCACCTCCAGATGCTGGATTCTTCTTTCCTTTTCCGTCAGCTGGTTTTGCAGAGACTGGATGTCAGGAGTCGGAGCCGGCTGCTTCGGATCCAGAGTTTTAATCACCTGCAAACAGAAAAAGACAGTTTGGACGTGTCGTATAAAGCAGGGGTATTCAATGTTTTCCAGGCCAAGGACCCCCAAACTGATGGCAAGATGGAGCAGGGACCCTCCAATATTGACCCTACAATATCCATATTATGTCACTCTATTACAGAAGGACTCATGTAACGAAAGTAATTTCACCCTGGGATTATTAAAGTACTTCTGACTCTGGTTCTTTGTTGATGGGACAGGTGCTGTGAATGAAACGGTGTCCAGCTTGAAAGAGCTCCTGTGTGTCGCTGAATGTGAGCATTGATGACTGAAAGACATCTTCTGCCTCCATTTATCTGTGTATTGAATTCATGTTAATGTGGATTTAAAGACAAAAATGCAAGGGGGAATAAAAAAATAAATAAAAAAAACTCAACCAAAACTTTCACAACCCCCTATGCAGTACCTCTATGGACCCCCTAGGGGTCGTGGACCTCCTGTTGAAGAGACAGTATAAAGTCTAATCTAAGATCTGGGCTTTGACTAGACCATTCAGGTTTAGCTCATATTCTTTGACCTGAACTGCATGGAAAACTAATTTTTTCCAAGCAAGCCCGGCACCTCGTGATGAGAAAAATGAGCTCACTCGATGAGGACTGACCGTTCTGGCTTTCTCCATGTATTTTTTGCATCGTTGCTCCATCTGTTTCATGTCCTCGTCTTTCTTCCGAAGGATCTCCTGGAGTTCATCTATCTTCTTGGCCACTGAGATGAAAAGAAACAGACGCATGTTTGGAAGACGAAAGGTCACCCCCACCCCTAAAAAAAAAAAAATGTACAGACAGAAAACCTTCTCCTTACTGTTGCTGTCGGCTTTAGGCTCCAGGTCGTCTATGACCTCTCGCTTCTTTCGCAGGTCTGAGTGAGCTTCGTTGAGTTTCTCCCTGAAAAACGTTTTTAATTCGTTTATATTCACTTTAAATCCATCCATCCCTGATGAATATGAAACAGGCTGCAGCAGTGAACCACTTACAGATGCTCCTCCAGCTTTTTCTTCAATAAGGATGACTTCATTTAATGAAGAAAAAAAAGAAGAAAACATGAAGTTAAGATTGACACGTATAAAAACGTATCAAAGTAGTGAGAGTTAAGGTGCTGCAGAGTGAAATCAGGGGCCGGATGGACGGCGGACGGGCCGTACTTACGATGGCCTGATTTTGGCAGGTGTAGGACGGATGGGGGGGTGGAGAGAGACAAACAGAGAGGGGCAGGCGTTAGCGCTTAATCGCCACAGCAAACATTGGTTAAAGTCCCACACATGTATCCAAAAAGGAGAGAAACATGGTTCTAGACGATCTCTCTCCGCACACACAGCAGCATTCACTCAGGATGCACTTGTTTGATAACAACACACTGTATTAAAATCTCATCAGCTTGATTGTAGGAAAACGGGCAGAGTGAGGGTGGGAGGTGTCGGATTGTTCCACTCACGTCCTCGTTCTTGCTGTCCTGCTGCTGGAGCGCTCTCTGGAGCTCTTCCACCTGAGAACGGAGCTCCACGATCTGCTGCTGGTTCAACCTTCAGACGAGCAACAGAGCAACGGTTTATATTAAAGAGCAAAGTGCAAAAGGCATGTATCTAATCAAGACATCTTAAGATCTTAAACAGGGTTCCTACAGCATAAGGCAAATTAAATTCAAGACTTTTTAAGACTTTTTAATGCCACTTGAAAGAAAATTTCAAGACCAAATTCACAAGAAAAACCCTCTTGCGACAACTTAAACCAAAGGTTTATTTTAACATAAACCACTGCACCAATGTTTCAAATTTTGAAAAGATTCCCATACAGGAATAAAGCTAAAAACACACAAATGACAGATATATTTTAACAATTATTTAACTGAATTCACAAACTTTGTTTTAGCAGGGAACAAAACAAATCAGTTTTAAAGCCACAACATAACCAGTGCGAAGTCTGTTTTGCAGCTATTTTTCTTTGTATGGTTTTCTTAGTATGTTTGATTTGTTGATAAGTGGAGGCGTTGCAGAGACAAGGGTGGAACAAAACTGAGAAATACCGGCTGTTTCTCAGTAACTTGATTTTAAAGGCTTTGTGTTTCACATGTGCGACTCCACTGCCTTAAAGGAATAGTACACCCAAAACATGATTAGCCTTCATTTTCTACTCACCCCCATGCTGAACAACACTCTGGAGTACTTTTTTGATATCTCAAATGCATCTGGAGATCTGGGAGGCTTCTTGCTGTCTGCTGACATTCAAATAATGGAGGTCTATGGCGCCCGAGACAGAAAGGTCCATAAAAGTCCACAAAAAACGTGTCAATATTCCTCCATACTGCTCGTCCAATGTATTCCAAGTGTCCTGAGTGGGTAGCATCCAGAATTTACTCGAAACAAAGTCATTTAGAATGTTTTTAGAGCATAAACAGTAGTGTATAGGATTTCCTAAAAGCGCGTTCACGAGTCTACGGAAACCGCGGCAGACCAAACCAGATGACAGTGCGCATTCAGCTCGGCAAAGAACTCATGCTCTTCCTCAACACTGAAGTCCTCAGACATTTTTCTTTCGTTGTTTCTTTCTTTGCACAGGCAAACAGCACATTTCTTCTTCTACGCTTGCATTATCGGCAGAGCAGACGCTGAATGCACTTGGAATACATTGGACGAGCAGTATGGAGGAATATTGACACGTTTTTTGTGGACTTTTATGGACCTTTCTGTCTCAGGCACCATAGACCTCCATTATTTGAATGTCAGCAGACAGCAAGAAGCCTCCCAGATCTCCAGATGCATTTGAGATATCAAAAAAGTACTCCAGAGTGTTGTTCAGCATGGGGGTGAGTAGAAAATGAAGGCTAATCATGTTTTGGGTGTACTATTCCTTTAATTCCCATCATTCCGAGCTTGAATGAGTTCTTGCACAAAATATACACTTTGCCTCATACATGTCCCCTGGTACTGGTTTTAGCCATGGAGAAAACTCTTGGCTGGAGCCAATTTTGGTTACATTTACACTTGCTCATATTTTGCAGGCAAAAAGTTAATGGTGCATCTCCCAAATGTCCCGGCTGCAACAAGGCTTTTATTGGTTCCGCTATCGGGACGGAACCAAGCCGTTATTTTTTTTTAAATAAAAAAAAAAAAAAATGTCAATTTTAACGTTTTATTTAGATTACAAAAATAAATTGTAATAAAAATAATCTTATGTATGATGTTTTAAAAATTAAGACCTACGAAAGACTGATTTGAGACATTTTAATACCAATTAAGGCCTTACCTTTATTTTGAAGAATTCAATGCCTTTTAAGGCTTTTTAAGGACGCGCGGGAACCCTGTTAAATATCGCTGCTAATTAATCTCGTTTTGAGATTAATAACAGCAAGATCAGATCATGTTAGATTATTAATCTTTCTTTGAGAAGATTCTATTTAGAATAAAAGTTCATTAATCTGCCATTGCACTGAGAGAATTAAACCTGTAAGAATTCTTGAAATCATTATATATACTTTCTTAAAACAAGACTGAAAATGCATTTTGTCTAGATTTCAAGATTTGGTTATATGGAGAATCTTTGGTTTAACAAATAAGGCGGACGGTTGCTATAAAAAGTGATCATTTCATGTAGATTAGAGCAAATGTTTGCCAATGGTGGAAACAAGATGAGTTCTGGCTTCATTTATCCCAATTTATCCCAAACCAGCAGTTTGGAAACTTTCACAAATAACTAAATGAGTCACAATCAAGCAGCCACTGTCGTGGAAACAACAGTCGAAGTCCTTCCTGCAAGAAGGTAACTTTAATCAAGATGTTTCTGCATTGGAGATAGGTAATAAATGTCCTTTAAACATCTTCTCATCACATTTTGGGACATAATGGCTGTACCGGCATCGTCCTTTAGGCTATGAAAACTGAAAGCTAAATCTATGGAAGAGGATTGGGAAAAAAAAAAAAAAGTTTATTAATTTTAAAATGTTATTTCAGTTTAATATAGGAAAACGGTCAGAATTCTGACTGTATTCTTACAATTCTGACTTTAATCTCAGAATTCTCCCCTCTTCCTCTTTGGTCCTCACCTTCTTTACCCATTCCTACCTTCTCATCATTTTCAATGCGCTGAAGTTCAAACTGAAAGCGTTTAACATCACTGCTATTTTGGCTGGATGAAGCAAGCACTATAGGTCCTAGTCTATGGTATGTATTCTACTGTATTACAGCGTAACACACGTATTATGTTTGTAATGCAGCAATGTCTGTGTTAAGATATTCTATTTATATTTATTACAACCAAACTGCTTACAGTAGTTTTATTTGATTTACATTGAATATAAATATTTGTCAAATAAAGTCAGTTGATAGAATTCATAGTGGATCCCTGAAAGGCTCTGGACAAGATATTAAATTGAATTTAATCTGATTAAATCACCAGATTCAAAACTTGTCGTATTTGATTCTGTTAACAAACCCCAGGAGGGGTCTTGAAAAATAAACCCGGTACTTAAGAGATTCACTTCCACACAGAAAGCCCATATTCTTATCGTCAGCTACCACAGTATACATGTCAGATCAAATAATACTACTTATACATCAGCAATAGTATCTAGGTGTTACTTTATTGCATCTCTTATACTATATCCGTTGGTTGTGCTGTTCTTTTTTACATCTCTTTGCAGGTGATGAAGCAGACTGAAAAGGATTTATCGTTGTCTCCGTTTTTTATCTCCTCTTTCTATCATCTTTTCTCCTCTTTCCTTTCCTGTTTTCCTTACCCATTGCAGTGTCCATATAATCTGTAATACTCCCTGCATGAATTATAATAAAGCTATTTATATGCATAAATTAAGCAGAACACTAAAGCGGTACTGTTCCACTTGTAAAATGAAAAGCTGTTGGGCTCTTTGGCATCAAGAAAATTATTCTTATTTTCATATTGCCAGACAGGACACTGTTAAAATAAATAAAAAAAATAAACCAGAAATATAATATGGATTATCCTCTTAAAATCCACCTCATTTTGGGTAATCCTCGCCTATTTCGCATACCCAAATGGAAAAGCAAATAACTTAGGAACTGTAAGCCCAAATTACATGTGCAATACATTATTTGAAAGCTAACACTCTCTAGTTTCTGAATATATAAAATATATATAATATTGGGTGAGTAGAACACAGACAAAGCTTCTTCAGTTCAAACGTGACTCAACGCTTTTTTCTATATTCTTGGAAATGATAGGTCTTTTTTGAACAGCAGTAATAAAGACATTCTTGAGAAAAGGCAGGTCTCATTGTATTAAATTTGTTCTATCATGTCAACAAATGCAGAAAATTTCAGACCTCTGTGAGCAGACCACGTGTTCTTAACCAATACCAGCAGAGAATATAACGTAAATCATATTGCGCGTCACTAACCGACAGAAAATGGACCGAAGGTGAGATTTTCGAGGACTATATCTCGCTCAAATCACGTCATAAAAATATGCAGACACGTGTCTTGTAGATAAGAAGAGGATGTAAAGAATAGGGGTGTAAATAATAATCGCTTTGTATCGATGGATCGATCCAACAGCTGACGATCAGATGCGTCAAAACCTCAGCAGTGTCGATTGATGTTTTTTTCCCCTCCGATCTATTTTCATCTAGTTGCTCCTGGACGCAATTCTGACTCCCGTGCTGCGGCGGCGCTAAACCTATCTTACCCTCCTACCTCGCTTCCTTTAACCACTACCCTCTTTCCGCTTGCACACACACACTTGCGTAAACACAGTGGCATTATTATTTTACAGTGAATGAGGTTTTTCTTAGGCCTAGGTGGAATACAACTTTGCCACTTCTGTTAATTGCTGTTTTTTCTCATATAAAATGCACAACGATATTACAGCTTTCACTGATTTATTTCAAATTTGAAACATTAATTTTCAAATTTAACCAATTAATCGAATCGTATCGTGGTGTATTCTTGAGTATCAAAAAATAATCAAATCGTTGTGTCAGGAATCGATACTGAATCGAAATCGCCATGATGGGTGTGATTTACACCCCTAGTAAAGAACCATACCAAAAATCGTGAGCTAACAACCATGGAAATGAGTATTAGAAGTAAATATTAGCAAGATGCTAAGCATTAGCTATGACCAGCTAACCTTTCTGATGTCAACAACCGGACGTTATGGGTGATTTTCTCATCATGGAATATTTTTATTACTAATATGCTGGATTACTTTTAATCTGTGGACCCTTATGGACGAATGGAGTATAAACAGTTGAAGACTGGATTTATAAAACGGCTTCTGGACGCCTTCAAATATATGTAGCTGTGGTAGCTTTGTTTGTTTACATTTGGACATGCTGCTGTTTTAATTGTGCTTTGGTGCTTGATGTGTCCATAAAGTGGTCTTGGTGGTTGAATTGTGGACAATCTAAGGTTTCCAATTATGTCTAACATGTCTATATTGATAAAAATTTTACTGGTGGAATTTTGTGCATGCTGAGTTGTTATTTTGAGAGGTTAAAAAAACATACATTTAAAGTTCCTTCCAAAAGTTTTAGGGGTCTGCACCCCTGAAATCGGCTGCCAGATCCTCACAATTATGAGAATGCCTCAAATATTTCCCTTTAAATCATATATCAACTTCGCTGTAGGTAAAAAAAAAACGTTTTAAGTGGAACTTTGTGCATCTGCTGTAAGCACCTGTCGTCCATTCCAGCGAGTGCGCCGCCTGGACGCTGAGCATGCTCACTCCACTCCTCTCCTCCTGTTACTGAGGATGCTTCCCACACCCTCAGCCTGGTGTTGCATTGGATACACACACATACACACACACAAACAGTCCACCCACATGTCCACATGCCCACAGGCATGTAAACACACACCCGCCATCGCACATAAACACACACTGAAGGGGCAATCTGGCTTTCTGCTGCCTGTCCTCCAGCCCAGCCCACACAGCTCCGCTCAACACACAGTCCAGAGGGTGAGTTGACATTTAGGCAGATATCACTCCTTCCCTCAGCCAAATCCACAATCTCATGTCCAGGAACGCACAATATGGTGGCCCCCAGAGGGGAACGGTTATCCAACGCTACTAAAAAAGTGGGTCTGCATAATGAATCCATCCACTAACTCCTACCTGTTCTGAGCTTCCAGGGTATTCTTGCTGCGCTGAGCCTCTTCTAGCTCCGCTTGGACCTTGACAAGTTTCTGTTGGTAGGTCTCCTCCTGAGCGCACAGCATTTTGTTCTCGCTCTGTAGACGTACAACGGTTTCCCTATCAAAGAAAGAACGGCGGAATGAGAGGAGGAAAGGAAACAGGGCAGATGAGACTGAACGTGGAGGCTCTTATCTGACAACAGCCAGGCCAAATGGGCCGTGTGTTACAGTTTCACTGACCAGCTGAACATTCAACTTCCAAAAATAAACTTTAAAGACAGCATGATGAAAACAGCAGGGGGGTGGGGGGGCTACCAAAGAGGCCACAGCTATTAGGATCTACTATGCACACGTCTACACGTCCCAGATCACGTCCTCACAGCTTTATAAGTTTCCCTACTTTAGCTCTGTAGGCATAATCTCTGCAGCCAGGTTTCCCACAGTGACATCGCCGTCAGTCAAGTCTCCTACAGAAGGAATCAAACATGCACCATTAACCGGTTTTACTAAAACTCAACCCAGTTCAAACCTGCACAGCTCACCTGCTCCACTCAGATAGCCCTGCTGGACCTGCGCACACCTCAGTTCATCGTTCGCCTCCCGCAGAGAATCTCTTTCGGCAATCAAACGCTGCACAGGAACAAAATATTAAAAACAAACAATCAAAAAATAATAAAAAAAAGGTTTTAGGAATATTTAAAGTTCTGATTTGGTCAGTTTTTGTTTAATTCTTATAAAGCACATTCACTGGACAAATTTCCATCTAAGCTTTGAGATTTATATACTAATCAAGAGCAGATTCTGTTAAGGTTTTAAGAACATTCCACTTGGCCTTAAATAGAGGATAACTTTATAAATACAAATATAAAATGTCATAACTTGTTGACAAAGTATGTTTGATTTTATTTTCTATTATCACAGTTTTTACCAGCTAAAAAATGCTTATATTCCCTTCCAGCCGCTACAAACGGCTGCAGAAAATCCCAAAGAACTTGGCTGGGTTGAGGGAATTATGGCTGGATCTACACACTGGAAAAACGATATTGAAATAAGTAAAAATGTCTTAAAAGGCATACTATGCAACGTTTTTCAGTTAATCAATGTGTTCCATAACGTTTTGGATAATTAAATGAGTCATTTCAGGTCGAACAAAGGTTTTCTCGGCCGCCCTGGTGGTCTGTAGGGGAAATACCGTACTTGCAATTGCAGGAGCACCGACCCGCACCCACAGGCTCAGAAGTCTCATGCATCGCGAGAGTCGGTCTTGCTTTACGGCGAGAACTGCTACACGCCCCCAGTGAAAGGCATGCTCGTTCCTAGTGCAGTGGCGATATTTGTGCAGTTATCATGGCGGAACCAGCGAGAATTTTAAAACTCGAAAATTGGAAGAAAATAGTCACTTACAGCAGTAGACATGGTGATTCGTTGCGTTCGCCTGTCTGCTAAGCTCAAAACAACCGCGCCTGGCTTGACGGAGAAACCAGGAGAACAGCTGAGCATATTTAGGACAGTGCACTTTTACTTTCACCCTCTGGGGGGAGCCTCGCTGGAAAATCAACACCGGTTGCATAGTATACCTTTAAATTAAGTGTATTTATCCTAAATTTGAGTTGGTAAATGAGACAGTTTTTCCAATGGAGTAAGTATTTTTACTCTTAATATAAGATAATTAGATAATATGCACTTGGAATAAGACAATGCAATTATGTTTTCTCATTTTAAGTGTAAATCGTCTTATTCCCTTGGCAAAATGTATCTTTTATCTCCTCAATCCAAGAACAAATGCACTTATTTTAAGAAAAAAATGACTTATCTGGATTTAGATTTTTTCCCGTGCAGTGGCTGCTCCCCCTGTGGTACATGGGAGTCTACCACTCAGAACAGCTATATTTAAAGCTAGGATCAGAAACCTGATTACAGCTAATAAAGCAAAGCCACTCTCTTCTCTTTACATCTACAAGAAAATAGGAAAGAGCGCCAGAAAATGTCTGCCCTCACTTTGCACGACGTGCATCAAGGGCGTCAAAAATGCTCCCAACATGCTTCTTACTTCAATGAGCAGAAATATTTTGACGCTCAAAATGCTTTCTGTGTGAATGCAGCACTGGATAAGACACCCCGTCTTCCTCTACAAAGCATTCACGCCGTTCTTTGGAAGACAAGGTTCTTTCCACACATTAGCTGGACTGAGATTACATTACACAGACTAATGATTAGGTTATTTATAAATGCTGATAGACTGAAGGAGAACATTCAACGCATAATGAAACCATCCATTTTTATTTTACTTCCCCCTTTTTTAGTGTTTGTTAATCACATAGAACCACAAAGAGGGACATGAAGTTTGTGGTTGCAATGTGGAAAATACTTTTGCAAGGCCACTATAAGCCTATGCAGTGCATCCGTATATCTACCCGATGGACAATCAGGAAAATCTCCATCAGATCTCAGGAATCTTTAATAAATGACAGAACCGTGCAGATCAGGAAAGCATTTCTAGATGTTATCGAAGAGGTGTGTCAACTCACTTCTTTCTCCTTCAGCAGTGCGTCGTATTTGTCGTAAAGATTTTTGAACTCAAACTGCCACTTCTCAGCCTTCATGGCCTCTGCTGCATGCTTGGTGTGAAGCTCATGAGCCTAAAAAAAAAAAAAAAAAAAAAGGGACAGTCTGCTGGAGCTTTCCAAGAAAACAGTGAATCTTTCCAAACACAAGCAGCAGCCAGACTCAGTTTATCATCACTCAGATGGGCAAACAGATGAAGCAGCACGCAGCTTGCCTGTCTCTTGTAGGTGTCCAGCTGACTGCGAACGGAGTTGGCCCTGCGTAGCTCCTCCTCCAGCTCGCAGGTGCGCTGCATGTACACGGTGTTTCGCTCCTCCAGGAGGCGCACCTGTCTGCGCAGGTCTCCTAGATCTTCCAGCTTCCTCTTGTAGGTCTCTACTAGTGCTTCGAGCTGGTTCACCCGGTCAGACGAGTGTCTGTAGGGATATTTGGTTGACATAGTTTATTTTCAGAGACAAATGACATCGTCATAGTGTCAGGAATAGATACCGACGCAGATAAGGTGCCAGTTTCCTGATAACTCAAGAACCAAAAGACCATCGTCGTATCTCAACAGAAAATAAACCCTCTGCCATCTTTTGGATTTGACCCGTCTCAGTCCTGTACACCTCGTTTCTTACAGCGCCTTTAGCCATGATATTAGTTTTGGGCACTGAGGACTGAAGTCATACTAGGCCGATTTTCTTTGAATATTGATAGAGGAAGGTGCAGTTTTCCTCTTTTGTACCATGATTGGGGACAAAGGAATCCACAAACAGTCTCTTACCCTCTTTGCTGTCTTCTCTATCCCAGGGGAGATACATTAAGGAGAAGAAAGACAACATGGCTAAACGGATTTCATTACTTGACCCCTGCTCTAATTAGGTAGTCCTGAAACCAGGTTCAGGACCAGAATCTGCAGACCAATTGAAGGCTAAATAGACCTTCTCAGAAGTGCTACTCTATTTGCAAAAATAGATCGTTCTGCAACATTTTTCTCCAAGTTAAAATAAAACTTTGAGATGCCAGAGACTGGAGCATCTGAGAGGAAAGGACATTAGCTTCCCTGCTGCAGACCTGACATGCTAAGCTGCAGAACACTGGAAACAACTAAACCTTTTCCAAAAGGGAGATCAGATGTTACACGTCTGATAAACGTAAGGAAAGAGTCTCCAGCTAAACAATTTTAATTTAGATGATTTTTGGTCATTTCAGGTGTTTATTATCACGTGAGGCAAGCTAACAAGAAGCCAATGGTTACCGCATGGTACCCCAATACTGAGCATTTGTTTACAAAGTTAAAACAACCTTTATTACACTAAAGGATTAAACATTAATAAAAAATTTATAAATTTCCTCATATTTTAATTACATCTAACTACAAAAATGTGACTAAAGAGTTCTTTTTAAACGAGTTCCCTTCTGTCTGCTAGCTGTTAGCTCAATTGTTTCATAAGCCAAGCCTAAGGAAGCTAGGTGGGCCTTAGCTTTAACTATTCAACTAAAATATTATTTAACTCTTGGATTTGCATTGTGAACTGGTCTGAACACATTCTAATTCTTCTAAATTAGTTCAAGCAACAAAGTTTATCTTAAAAAAATTGTAATGAGGTCAAAACTGTGAATCACTGCATGATTTTATTGATTATGACTTTTTCCTTGTGTACATATTAGATTAGTTTAGTCGAGCTTCACTAGTTAAGTCAAGAGTTTTTAACTAAAATATACTTACCTTGGAGCTTTTGTTTGTTTTCCAAAACACAGCCAGTTGGGAGTGTTTTCACAGACAGTCAAGTTATTACATAAAGGTCTTAAAATATATTTACAATCCTGAAATCTGGTCCCACTTTGACGCATTAAAACCTCAAACTATAATGTCACATACTGAGGTAACCAGGAATCACAGATTAAACAGGTTTGACTAATTAAAACCTGATGACTTTATCATAATTTAATGTATAACCATCTATCCCAACACCTCTAAATAAACTCTAATCTGTACTCAGGCTCCACCTCTGTGTGAAGAAAAGACGACTATCTGTTGGCAGTAAGCAGGAGGCCATGTAGCAGATGCAGTAAACAGAAGGTAAGACAGCATAATGTAACATCAGTAACGGCTTCTTGCAATGTATTAAAAATGAGCTGATTAGATAAGAAGTACGCATTTAAGCCTCATATTTTGGTAATATATTTGCAAAAAGAAAACTTTTCGGAGGGCATTGAAGTTTTGATCAAGTCGGAGCCAATATGTTTTGCCTGATCAACAAATGTACCTTTTAGTTATAAAACCTTTTTTAAGACTAAAACATATTCCAGTTATTAAAACCATATGCCGTGCATACCAATTGCTCAGAGTGTGGTACTCCAGTCATCAGGGGCTGATGCCCTGCATGATTTAAATGCGTTTTCTGTCCTAACAGCTTATTCAAATGACTCAATCCCCACCACAGCATCTTTTCAACCTCCCCAGGAACTGGTTAATTACCAATAAATTTAATTAAGGTGTGATGAGCCAGGGTGACGTCTAACATATTCACGACACAACCTCTTGAGAACTACATATGGACACCACTGACGTATGTATTCAGCCTGTTAGGGAGACCCACTGTCCACAAAGGACACAACATGTAGATTTATTCCAAGACTAAACAAAAACAGGCTCATTGAAGGATTATACTTTAAAAAATTAAATGTATGCCTATCAGTTTTACTTGGAATAAGTGTGTTTTCTCTTGTTTTGAGCAGGTAAGTAATTGTCTTATTCCAATGGCCATCAGCCAATTGAATAAATACATAATGTTTAATTTAATTGGCAGATAAGGTTATTTTTCAGCTCAAACTAAGGCCAAATATATTTATTTTAAGACATTCTTACTTATTTTTAGATTACCTTTTGCAGCGTTTCTACTGGGCAACTGTATGAATTGCAGAAAACAAATGATTGAAAACATCACCCCCATGGTGATGCACAGTGCTGACAGCATTATGCTTTGGGAAAAAACACCTGATAGAGTTGATGTAATGATGACGTGCTTGAATTAAGAGTGAGCCTTGCAGATAACCTTTTAGAGGTGGTGAAAGATCTGTATTACAGGCAAGTGGAATGACTTGAATCAAAGCATATTTGTTCATTAGAATGGCCTAGTCAAAGCACAGAAGAACTTTTTAAACAACTGCGGCGAAATTTGAAAATTATTCTAAAACAGCTTCTATTATGCAATAATCACCAATTTATTGGTGATATATTAATCACAATCCTAAAACAATACAATTAAATAATTTTTTTGGGAAGTAAAAAAGATGGTAAAGTCGTAGGGAAGTGGCTGTTCCAAACGTCGCATTTCTGAATTCTCCCGAGTGGTGCACGACTTTATACGAGTGAATAAAGTGAATGTGATCGGTCGATTATCGAGAGGACAGCATTGTTGTGGCGGAAGGCTCACAAGTAAGTTTGATTGTGGCCGTTTTGTCGGAAGCATCTGGTTAACCAGTTAGCAACTTAGTGCTAGTAGGTTCCCAAGGGGAAATTCCATTGGGACCAAGTAGCACTAAATTGGTGACTTAGAAACGACACTGTCAAAGAAAGCTATGGACAGAGGAAACATGCAAGAGGAGGAGAGTTTAGTGTCGGAGGTCGTGGATGAGTCTCCTCCATCATAAAATTTTTATTTAGAGGAGGAAAGTGGGGACAAAGATGTTGTGGAAGAGGACGCCAGGGCGGCAGAAGCTTGGTTTGGTGTAGAAGGCTTACAGCCGTACATGTTTCAGCCCTTGCCTCGCAACGCTGCCAGTTCTGTTAGCTTAAGGCTGACATATAACTAACTGGCCTGCATAAGATAACGAAAAAAATAAAATAAAATAAAATAAAAAATACAGATTTTAAGAAATTATAAAAATGTTCTAAATAGAGAGTACATGTTAACAAGTTTAAGCCAGAATTATTTGACATTTAAATATGATTTCCTGAAGACTAAAAAGACAAGGGACATAAATCTTGGTTTGTTGGCCAATCTAAACCATCAATGAACTGGATGAAACAAGCTGCAAAGCAAGAACAGAAGCCCTAACAGTCCATGTGACTCAACCGCCTTGTGGTCATAATTACAGCAGTTTCACTCGGTACTATCAGTTTCTTAAAAGTAGAAAAAGTTTCCTTCATTTCATCATCAGAAGCTTATATTTAAAGATGTGCTGATCACCGCTGCAGCGCTCATGATTGATCCATTCAGAAGTTGGAGAACAGGAGTGACTTCTGCTCTCACCTGAGGATGTCCATCTCATCTTTGAGCGCCTGGGCTTCGTGTGCCAGACTCGTCAGTTCTTCGTTCCTGTGCTGCAGGTCGGCCACCTCCTGCTCCAGCATGTCTGCACGTACGCGCAAGTCATCTCTGCTGTTCTCCAGCCTGAGACACACGGTGGTTAATGTGGCTTAGTTTAGTCATTGCGAGAAACACAACCGACCGAGATGACTCAGTGCATACACAAGTGGGTCTAGAAAATTAGCTCAATCACATTCTCACACCCAACTTTTGTACCTGTAATTCTCCTCCTGCAGCTGCTCCATCTGACTCTGCAGCAGCAGAAGCTTCTTGCCCGTGATGGTGGTGGCAGAGGCGTCCAGAGAGTCGCTGCGGCTCAGCCTCTCTCTCATGGAACGGATCTCGGCCTGCAGGGACGACCTCTCCTCCACACCCAGCGACAGCTGCCGGAACAGAGGGAAACTTTATCCCAACCATTACCAATGGAAATTTAGTGAAAAATATGGTGTCCTGACAACAAAATGCAGCAAAAAAAAAAAAAAAAGAAGATAAAATCTGTTGCAGTGGAAAGCAGGGAACGGTAACCCTGATCTGAAACAAAAGGCAAAACATTACCAAGCACATAAATGTAAAGAAGACGAAATTGTTGAATTAGTGCCGGCAGATTAATATGCAGCAGCAAACTCACCAGGCTTAATGCAAAAAAGGTCTCTAAACACAAGCTTTACTGTAAGTTCACAAGCTCTGTCGTCAATGCTGTTGTCAGCTGACATTCCCAGGCAGAGAAAAGCTCCCCTTAAGGTTCAAACCAGATCCCCATGCTAAGATTAGACACAATAGATAACCAAGACCACTAGAACTGCTGCTTTTTAGCTGAAGTAACTTAAGCTGAATACAGCAGAGGTCTAGAAAACATGTTATATCAGGATAAGGAAGTTAACAATTAGACAATTCTGCATAAAAATCATTAAAAAAAAACAGTGAGATTAAACTTTTTGTGGTTGTATTTCCACAGCGAAAGACTGCGCTGAACTTTAAGGACAGATTGCATGTTTTAGCCCTGGGCCAGTAACAGTAAATAGCTCCTAAAACAACACCAGTGACTAATTCCCAATGTGTGGGCTGAGCAAGTAAACAAACAGGTGGGCTGAGAGCAGCACAAATTATTGTTGGCTACTGATCCATCCCAAGGCTATGTGTCAGTTTCATCTAGATGTTATGCAACTATTGACAAGAAAGTATGTTTAAGGGGGGGAAAATAAATAACTCAGCCCTTTCTCAGCCATTGGTTCACAACTAAGCCGAGAGACAATCAATAGAGTTCAAAGCACATAGTTGTGAGATAGGACTTTAAAAACATGGCTGTGGTACAGCAGATTAAAGCTGCACCAATGGATCCTTCTCTGGAACTTCTGAAAATCTGGATCTCTCTGAAAGCTGAATATAAGTGTAGCGAAGAGTTTTATAAAACTGATTTATGATTCTAAATCTTAACATAGCAAAATATTAGCTAACCTGGTGTTCAAGATCTTTACAGCGCTGGATTAGGTCCTCCTTCTCATCTGGTTCCTCGCTCAGATAGTAATACTTCCTGGACTGTAAGAGGACACAGAAGAAATGTCATCTGATTTAGCGCACACAATGCATTGAAACGCATACAGACCCTTTTAAAGTTTTCCCAATTCAGAGTGTATGAACACAGCAAAAGAAATAAAAAAAAAAAACATAGTGAAAAGTACAATGCAGTGGCATAATAGAGGCAGGAAAAGAACATTAAAAAAAACCTTAAACTAGAGATCCGAGCTGTCTGGGTGGTTGATACACTGACAATGTCTGTCATGTATTTTGCAGCTAAGAGTTCAGTGATTTACAGACTAACAGAAGCATTATAAAGTCTATTATCCGACACTACAAGCTGAGCTCTTAAGGCTAGTGAGGACACTGGCAGCAGCATTCTGGATCAGCTGCAGCCGTCTGATCCACTTTTTACGCAGAACTTTGAAGACAATCAATTCTGCATGAATCCTGCAGAAACATTATCATCCTAGCGTCATTTAATCCTGGAGATGTTCTTTAGATCAGCGGTCCCCAACCACCGGGCCGCGGACCGGTCCGTCGGTCATTTGGTACCGGGCCTCACAGAAAAAAAGTATATATATATATATATATATATATATATATATATATATATATATATATATATACACTATAAAATCCTATCTTTATGAAGCGGGATTTTCTGCAGTTACAGCGACCAAAACAAAACTACGGAAAAGATGATTTATTTAAAGTTTTATTTAACCCCCCCCCACCGGCCGGTCCGTGAAAATATTGTCCGACAACGGTCCATGGCGCAAAAAAAAAAGGTTGGGGACCGCTGCTTTAGATGATGACAGGCTGACTTCGTTACTGTGTTTACGAGCCTCTGCAGGTTCAGGTCTTAGTTTATCACTACACCCATGATTTATGGCCTGATTGGTGGTTTCTAGATAAAGTAACCAACGCTATATGCTAACCTTTAATCCCTCTTCAGTTTACCCATCATTTGAATGGATTCATAGTCCCATGGTGACATGGTAATGTACAACTACGCGTCATCTGCATAGTTATGCTAACTTAATTTGTTATATTTTGAAATCTGAGTTAGGAGGAGCAAGTAGATATGGAATGAAAGGGGCCCTCATAAGGAACCTTGGGGAACGCCACAAGTGATTTTGTGGTCTACGAGTTAAAGTTACATACAGACACAAAAAAGTCCCCGTCCTTCAAGTAGGAAGGACAGGCAGCCTGGGGGGAAAACCTGACAAAAGGGAGGATTTTTGTTAGACACTCATCTGACCGGGTGAACCAGCTTAGAAGTATAATTTCTTTTAAGCTTTTTCAATTTAGTTGGTTAAAATTAAATATCTTATACAAATATTAAAGTAAAAGTGGACTTGAATCAGTAATTGTGTGATTTCTACAGGTAGCCAACTGTACTGATTTTATTTAGAGGCATCAAAGAATCTCTTTCCTCTTAATTCATAGCTGACTCATGTTCAGCTGTGTGAATTTTACCTGGTAGTCAAAGTCCCCGTAAGTCTCTGGACTTCCTGGTTCAGATGAAGGTTCTTTTGCTAAAAGCTGACAAAAAAAAAAAAAAAAAAAAAAGGATCAGAAAACAAGCTCGAGGTAAAGAAAACCTGAGAATCTCATCGACAGGAGCAACATTTAAAGACAATCCTCCTAAGCTTTATTTTTATTACATTAACTCCTACTGTGTTGGCCCTCACTAAATCACACTACACTAAACACTAAATCTATTCTTAGAATGGTATAAAGCAGGGTTTGAGGGGAATTATTTCAATCAAATGTTTATCCGTACTTCTTTCCTTATAAACCAAACCCATGACTAACAGCTGGATTAATAAAAGAAGAAAAAAAAAAAAACAGGAGAGAACAGGGAGGATAAATGGCGATGCTCACTCACCTCCTGAATGGCTGTCATCACAACATGCTGGACAGATTCCTCAAGTGTCATAATCTGCTGGATTTGCTCTGCGTTTGGGAGACGACAACAATAGCTGTTAATGCGCAGCCAAAAAACAGATTAACTCAGACTGTTTCCTAAAATAAAACACAGGTTCTATCATCAGAGCATCTGTTTAACAGACTATTTTAGACCAGTTAAAAAAAAAAAAAACTTATATCGTACCTTGCTTCTTTTCACAACTGACAGCACAACCCAACACAAGCTGCAGCAGCTTTCCCAGCTCGGTCACATCTCCCATCTCGCCGATAAGGCTCACATCTGGTAAATGCTCATCGGAGACCTGCTGACCAAGCACCTGGATCACGGCACAGGAAGGAGAGACAATAAAATTCCTGACATGAACCAAACAGGGTAGTAGAGAAGCACAGGTGCAGCTCAAAGAAGCAGAACATCAAAAAAAAGGTTTGTTTTTTCGCAGCAATTAAATAAGAGTTACAGCTATTAGTTTATCCGGGATGTAAACAAAGAAAAATACAGAAATATTTTGCCTTCATCCCGAAGAAACAATCTCTTGGAAGAACTAAGACAACTGGTGATTAACAGGGAGCTGCAATATAGCATTTTTAATGGAAGTTAAAAAGTGCACAAGCACAAAGAATAACCAAACACTGAGAAGACTGTTAAAATCAGTTAAGGTCCATGTTTCAGTAGCCACCATGCCAGAAATGTCCACAACATCAGCTCATGTTTTGCATTTCTAATGTTAAGCCAATGAATGAGGTAAGAAGCATCTGAAGTGGATTGAGGTTGATCAGTGGTCCTAAAATGCTTTTATTCCAGAGTGAAGTTTGCGTTTAATTTGAAATTTAAGGATTCAGAGTCTTGATGCCAAAAAAAAGAAACAGAATCCATGTTGCATGAAGGTCAGTGTGAAGATCGATGTAGTGTGTCATGTTATCCATTATGCCCAGTTTTAAAAAGAGTTTCCACTCTACCCTGAGTGGAAAGCAGATACTCAGAGTGTAAGACACAGGGGGTAGAACTACTCAGAGTTTTTGGTTTCTGAATAAGTGATGCCAATCCTGTAGCTAAAACTCTGCATCTAATCAACTCTGAGTTAAGCATATAAGAGGCCTTCATCCATGGAACATAAACAACATGATTTATCGTGGCAGTGGCAGAAAAAAGGCCTATAATGACTCAATTTGTGGCCACCCCCCCAGCACCTAAGGACAGAGAAGGAAAGGGGGTCTGAGTCCTTGAAAGCATGCATCCTTTTTCTCATTGATTCCGCTGGCTGGGGGCGTGGCCTCCAACTGAGCTGTTAAAGGAGCAAAGTGGATTGACAAACATTTAAGTCTGAGATTCAACATTAAGCAACTTTCAACCTTCATAAAATATTTTCATAACTTTGGTGAGTATACATTGTGTCAACTAGTTGAATGACACCATTTTTTTTTTTTGGTGCGTTCAAAATGTGTCTAGCTGCCACATAACAGGCAACAATTGTTGACCTTATTCCCAGAAATCTTCAAGTGTAGAAGTTCTTCGCACCGAACATATAATAGTAATATGAAAATGCTCCATACAAATGTTATTTAAACTTACGTCTTTATTAAAGAATCTTCAGAATATTTGCACCTCAACCTGAACAGATTCCTCCAGAAAAGGACACGGCATTCCAAGCACTTCCTTGTGCAGTTCTCAGCTAAAGCGTAGAAACTACTCAGGGTTTGTCCAAACAACCCTTGGGTTGTTTTTCAGAGAGGATTCTGGTGTCATCATTTTTACTATGGGTAACTGCTCGGTACTTTTCCAAAATGGAAAAGCAAATGTATGCAGGAATTTAACCCATAACTTACTCTGGATTGCAGCTCTTGTAAAATGGGACACGGGTGTTTGTCAGGAGTTGTTTTCTCAAGTCTAAAGTAAACGCAGCAACCTTTAGAGGACTTGATAGTTCTCTCTGCTTCACGGAGAAGCAGAGTTTGTTCTTGGATTATCTTACAGGAAATGGAAGACACCATAGCCAGCAGATGCACATGTTGGTTATTAATGTAAAAAGGAGCCCTAATGGAGTAATGCATCTCTATAATGAACAATATATAGACAATACACCACTCTGTTTAAGGAATCTTGATAGTATGAGCTTCATACCATCTACTTTATGGGGAGTGGCGGCCAAGTGGTCCGGGCGCAGAGCTTGGAATCCTGAGGTTCTGAGTTTGAGCCCCACTCCCACAGACTGCCACTCTGGCAGACATGGGCAATGTGGAGTCAACGAGTCATCTCCATGTCATGTATTTAATCTACCCAGCCAATTAACCAGGTGAGTCCAATCTGCACAGGTTAATTCACGGTGAAGATTGGACTCACCTGCTTCAGTGGCTGGGTAGAACAAACACATGACATGGAGATGACTTGTTGACTCCACATTGCCCATGTCTGCACTCTGGCTCTCTGAGCAAATACCCTTAAGGGCTGGTTATACTCCTGCTGCAGTGTGTGGCAGTGAGCTTGACGCAGACATTTTTGATTTATGCTCAATTTTGAAGAGTGGTCTGTTCTACACACTGTGGGTCTAGATATGGCCAAGGCAATGAGAAAGTGGGGGCGACTTTAGTCTGACAACGGAGGGACATGAGGGCGAAAAATAGCAGGGATCCAAGTGGAAAAGGGGTCCCAGCGTTCTCACGCACCTCGATCTTCTAGCTGGTCTAACTTCACGATTTGTTTGCCGCAATTACGCTCATAAAAGCAAAACAAGCCTCTCTCCTGTCTGCGACACTGTCTGCGGTCAGTTACAATTTTGGAGAGGGGCAGCGGAGCGTCTGCAGAGGGGGGTGGGGACGGCTTTTTCTTCACTGCGACACCTACGTAGAGGACCTGGTTTCGAAGTATAATACCCCATTTACAGTACACTTGACAAACCGATCCATGCCGAGACCGGTCCGAGCTCGGATCAGTTAACCAGGCCGAGCTCGGTTCTGACGACAGTTTACACATCACGCTATCTCGGTTCCTCGCCTCCTAGTGACGATTTGCGGTATTACTGCCAGTATTGAAGGAGGAAATCAAGCAGTTGGTGGCGTTAATGCACCAAAAGTGGTTTTCCAACTGCCATAAAACACAAGAAGAAGAAGACGAAGAAGGAGGGAATCAAGCAAATCAAAATGGTGGCACCCGTCAAATTCAGAAAGTTATGCTTGAAATATTATTGCTGTATTTCGGTGTTATTATTTAAAATGTTGCGTGGAAAAGATTGATTGTTGTTTATAGTTGTTGTTCTTCTTCTTCTGTTTTGTGTTGGTTGGCAAGCAACTTCCGGAGGGGCATTGCCGCCATCTGCTGGAATGGAGTGTGAATCGGGATGTGCAGCCAGACGGAGATGAGGCGTTCTGCTCATGCGCTCTTGTTATCAGAGAACCGAGCCAGGGAAAAACCGAGCCCAGCCCACCTCTGGAACTGGTCTTCAGTTAGCTCGGTCCGGTTGTGTCTAGCTCGGTTCAGTTCAGTTTACTTTCCATTTACACACGATAAGTTATCTCAGTTACTGAGCTCGGACTGGTCTCGGCACGGTTTTTCAAGGGTAGTGTAAATAGGGTATAAATCAGCCTTTAACCCCCGATTGCTCCCAGGGCTCCCTACAGTGGCAGCCCACTGCTCCCCAAGGGGATGGGGTAAATGCAGAGGTAAATTTATCCAATGTGAGATCAATACATTTCAATAATACTATTCATTATTATTCAACTTTTTAATCAGACTATTATAATAAATTAACATGTAATGATATTTCAATTGACTGATGCATTGAGAAAGCTGCTAAAACCTTCTTACATCGTGGTAATATTCCAGCATGCTTTTCAGAATCTTCTTCAAGTTGCTGACCTAGAAAGACAGAACAGTTTTGGTGTTTTGATTTTACTCAAAGCCGAAGACAAAGGACGGTAAACGCTAAATATAGTCTGCTGCTTCACAAATTACCTTCAGGCGCCAGTTTGCTTCGCTGTCCTCCTTGATCCTGCCGAGCCAGGTCTCATTAAACCAAGAGGGGTCTCTGTTCATGAGAACACAGGAGAGCCACAGTACATCTCTGGATACCATAATACACAGGAAGTCACAGCAGTAAAAGCAGCCTAAATCTGCTTGGTTCTTTTAGACCCAATGACATCCGAGTACAGTTACCCTCCTCTGCATGGGCTGCTGCTCCATCACTGACCCAGTTTTTAATCTTTTATGTAAACCCTTCTTCTCCCAGAAGTATACAAAAAAAAAAAAACAGCTTCAATGCTCTTTAAAACAAAAATTTGAAGCACAACTGTTAATCTATTTTGGATTATTTGTCTAATCCCCCCAGGCTTAATGTTATATATAGAGCTTTCATACATACATACCCCCCCCCCCCCCCCCCCCAGTTTTTGGATAGATGTCAGTTAGAAAGCAGCAAGAGAACCATGAATGCTTCTATAGCCATTAGCAAGACACCTTATTTGAAATGATAGAATAAATATCTTCCTCACATCTTTAGCCAGGAATCCCTTGAAAAGGATTTTTTCCCCCTCTTTTTCTTCTTCTATCTCTATGAGAATATGTTGCTCAAATAAAGCCGAAAAACAAACAAAAAAACGTCTGAAATGTCCTCAACCCTGGTCAAAATTGATGGATTATTAAATAAAAGGAAAATAACCAAGTTCTTCCAGATGGTTAAATATCTAACTAGGATTTAATCAGGACCTTTTTCATGTAAATGGTATTATATGTTTTAAATTAGGAAAAAAACGAACAAAAAAAAACCAACAAAAAACATGAAATTAGAAAAAGAAAATAAGATTCATGTATGTTGTATAATCGCTACATAAAAAAACATCAGTCGAAATAAAGCATTCAAAGCTGTCGCATACATTTCCTCCTGACCAGAGGATGTAGACTTCCCGGAACTATAAACAATTTTTAAAAACTATTTGATTCAAGTCCTTCCTGAGCAGTGATCAGAACAGCATGACAAAAATAAGTAAACAAGCTTACATTCTGTGGAGCACGTGAGCGATGGCCACTCCACTTGTTAGCTCCTGCTTGCCATCACATGATGGAGCCTGAAATGTCTGCAACTGAGAATAAAAAACAACATTAAATGTTAGATTGTAAGCAAGTAGATTTTAAACCACTGGATTCTACGAAAAAAAAAAAAAAAAAAATTCAACAGAAATGAAACCACAGCTATGAAAAAAAAAATATATATATATATATATCAAAATCATTTCAAGCCATGAAGCATTTACAGTACATTAAAAACCTCTCAGCTTAGGGCTATTTTTCTTAGCATATTCCTTAAATATATTTCCATTATTAGTTCATTATAGCCTCTACAATGTAAAAAATTTTAATCTAAAATCTAAGTCATTTTTCTTAAAATAAGTGCATTTTGTCTTGTATTGAGGTGGTGAGTGAGACACTGCCAATGGTACAAAACAACAATTTACATAAAAAAAAAAGAAAAACTCTTGCATTGTCTTAATACAAGTGCATATTATCTGATTATCTTATTTTAAGAGTAAAAATACTTACTCCATTGGAAAACTGTCTCATTTACCAACTCAAATTTAGGATAAATACACTTAATTTAAAGGTACACTATGCAACCGGTGTTGATTTTCCAGCGAGACTCCCCCCAGAGGGTGAAAGTATAAGTGCACTGTCGTAAATATGCTCAGCTGTTCTCCTGGTTTCTCCATCAAGCCAGGCGCGGTTGTTTTGAGCTTAGCAGACAGGCGAATGCAACGAATCACCATGTCTACTGCTGTAAGTGACTATTTTGAGTTTGAAAATTCTCGCTGGTTCCGCCATGATAACTACACAAATATCGCCAAAAAAATACCTTTAACCTTCCAAGCTTTTTTCACATTTTATCATTTTTAGGGCTGTAGCTCACAATTATTTTGCAAATCGATAAATGTAATTGTTTTCTCAATTAATCGAGTAATAATTGGACAACCAAAAGGCTCCTTAAGGAAGACAATTTACTTAATTAAAAGAGGTGAAATATTTTTGTTTCACCCGGATTGAACATATTAAAAGACCAAAAAAAAAAAAAAATGTTTTTATCTTAAATACTTAAAAAAATTTTTTTTAACAATTTTGATATAATTACTGCACAAAGTGGGTTGCTCTGTCAGTTAAAGGAATACTGAATAGTTGACGATTATTTCAATACCTGTTTAATCACGATTAATCCGATTATTTGTTTCAGCCCTTGTTTTTACAAACTAAAAACTTCTGGGTGTTTTTTTTATCATCCAGAAGTTCTTGATCCATGATCTTAATAAGAATATTTCCTTAAATTCCTCATAATGAGGTTAGCTATGGAGGATAGTAAGCATACAATTAATTGTATGGCAAATAAATAAAGAAGCTAATTAAAAGAGAGATATATACATTTATGTCTCACTGTATAATTAAATTTCTACCTACATTTATTGTATTGTTGTGGGGCAATTAATTGTATGCTTATTTATTTATTAAGAATTTATTTATTTCTGTATTTATTTTTAAATATGGTAGAGCTGGTCCTCCATAGCTAACATGGGTTATATATGTATATATATATATGTGTGTGTGTGTGTGTGTTTGTGGTAACAAAGAAAATTATAAAAAATTTTCAATAATATTTTTTTTTTTAACATTAGATCTCGTGTTTCACATCCACCCTAAAGGACAGATCTAAACACTTCCAAAGGACTCCAGATTTAACTTGTGCTCAGAAGTGTTTCAATAAAAGCCAGAAAGGTGGATTTTCCTTCGAGATTTAGAGGAAAGTTAACATGTTGGAAGCTTAATGTTAATGTTAGCTTAGTTGGTTAATGTTAGTGTTTATTTACTGAGCGGCTAACTTTGCTGACACCACAGTCCGTTTGGAAAGCAGACTGCCAGGACCAAAATGTCCTATTTGTTAACAGCTGGTTAGCAAATAACACAGCCTCTAAGTCTACCTACTGATTTAATGTGAGCATAGATGGTAAAAGATAACGCTCTCCATCTGTCGCCTTCAAAAACTCAAGGCTTCACGTTTATTTGCCGAACACCTGCTGTCACCTGTTAGCCCCGGGGAGGTTAGCCTGGCTGGGCAGCCTTGCTAACTTCACACTTACCCAAGTTAACAGCGAGTCACAGAGGTTAGCTTTATCCAGACTCATTGTGCCGCCGCGGGGTTCTGAAAAACGACAGACTGAACCTTCACCGATTCCTCAGCGGCTGAGTTTGTTTCCCCCTTCCTGACACCTTCCACGTCAGGCAATGGCCTCCCTGCGCTGCTCCAGTCCGTATCGCGTTTCAATCCCCTCTTCTAATGTACTCGTGAGCTTCCGTAAGACCGCCGTTCCCATGGAAACGGATTATGCCATGGGTTTCTGGTGGCCGAAAATCATTGTAATTTGGGAATATTAATAGTCAGCTCAGTCAGTGTTTCAGTTATTTTACTGATATGAAGCTTCTTATTTTAATGTAAAACATTACAGGGTTCTATGGCAAACTGTAATATAGAAAAAAATAACTTAAAAAGAAATACATAAAAAACAAAGTAGCAACACACCTTTTCACATTTAAGGGGTTTTATTGAGATCTTAGTATTTTAATGAAAGTGGAAAATAAAACATATGGTCAGACAAGACAAAAGCACAATGAGAAAACACAATATTTTATGGAGAACAAACTCCATCCCGAATCTGATTTTAAAACAAGTTGGTGGAAGTGTCATAATGAGGGGATGCTTTTCTTGGGCAACAACAGGGGAGCTGACCAAAACTGACAGGACAAAAAAAACTTTTATAGAGTCATGCTAAAACACTGTATGTAGGGAAGGACTTGTTTGCCATTTTTTGAATAAAACAAATTTTAGAGTATCACTTGCCAACTGACAGTCACATAAGCAGGGGCGGAGCCATGGCCACCCTTAGCCAATCATTGCCTACCCCTGTGGCCACCCCTACCATTTTTTCACTCTAATACAGAGGGTGGCAGCAGTAATACTCAAAAATGGAATGTCTATCTTATTTAACATTAATTTTTTTCATATGTTAACAGTTTCTTGACAACAAAAACACTGTGGTTAATTATGCACATCAATATATAAATATCAAGATGTTTAATATGATAAATACCGAAATCCTGCTCTTTTTGAAATGAGATTTTGTCTTATGGGGTAAAAAGAAAATTATGTCTCTGCAAGTCATCTATGAGCCTTCAATGAAATCAGAGATAAAAAACTATTTCAATAATAAGTAATCCATTCAATGTAGATATTAGTACATGTAAATATGAATTTTATTCAGAACGACTGTTGATCAAAGTAGGAAAGTAAAGACAATAAATAAATAAAGAATTTTGTCTACCACACGTTTAATTTAGACAGCATGGATGTTTAAATATATGTGTCTATGCTTTAGCAAAGGTTGTAAATTATAGTTAGTCTTTATTTAGAAAATATGGAAGTTGCTCTTGTTCATTTTCCTTTTGGAACAGTGTAGATTGACGCTGAGCGTCTCGCACCTATCTGCTTTTTGCCACTGGTTATTCCCTGGCCACCCTTATTAAATAATTCTAGCTACGACTCTGCACATAAGTTCTCCATCCAATATGACCAAGCTTGAGCTAATATGCAATGAAGTCTTTGCAAAACCTTTAGTTTCTAGATGTGCAACGCCGGCAGAGAAATACCCCCGAAAGGCTTGCAGTTGTGGTTGCAGCGAAAGGTGGTCCTGCAGCTTATTGACTCAGACGGGCTGAATACAAATCAGATTTCCGCACCAGTTTGCAATGATCACTGAAATAAAATCTCAATGAAAAACGTGGCAATTTGAGGTTGTGATGTGAGAACAAGTAAAATGGTTCCCTTGTTGTCACATTATGGGATATAAATGCTTTTTAAAATGTGTGCAGATTTCAGAGCCTTAAAAGTAGTTTTTTGTAACGATATCAGCATAGAGCTAATTAACTGATTAGATTGTTTTGTGTCATTTTATATATTGACATCATCCTTAACAGGATTCACTGCATGGTGAGATTATTGTGCAACACAGCTAGAAAGACCACAAGAAATTTGCGAAAGAGAGATACATGTATGAAAGTCTGGTTTAAAATCTTGTTTTAAAATACTTCCTTGTTTTAAAAAGCAAGAGGAAAAATTGTATGAGGAGTTTTCTTTTACTATTTAAGTGCCCCTTTCATCTTTAAATCAATCTTGAAGCATTAAAAATCTTTCAGTAGATAATGCAGAAAAACAACTTTATCCTGCCTTCATGTTATCTACCTGCTTGGTAGGAAAAATAAACTAATAGATAAAAACTCTAGATAATGTGCTTTAAAAACAAGATACAAAGACAAACATCCTTGAACCAGTGTGTTTATACTTTTTAAATTTCCTCAAAGCACCACTGGATGGCTCTAGTTGACAGAATAGGGCTCAAAATCCAAATGTTGCACAACTGCCTACATGAATAACACATGAACCCACTATGTTAGGAATATCTATGAAATGTTTTTACAACAGCATTATCTATCTATCTATCTATCTATCTATCTATCTATCTATCTATCTATCTATCTATCTATCTATCTATCTATCTATCTATCTATCTATCTATCTATCTATCTATCTATCTATCTATCTATCTATCTATCTATCTATCTATCTATCTATCTATCTATCTATCTATCTATCTATCTATCTATCTATCTATCTATCTATCTATCTATCTATCTATCTATCTATCTATCTATCTATCTATCTATCTATCTATCTATCTATCTATCTATCTATCTATCTATCTATCTATCTTAATCAGGTTGACTTGCATTATTTCTATGTGTTTTAGCTCCTTCTGCTTTGTGTAGTTTTCCTGTCCTTTCTTTGGAAAAAAAAGTACTCCCACAGCATGATGCCGCCACCATACCTTTGTTTGCTCATTGGCCTTCAATATGATGTTTGCTCAAACCTCTGTGACATACATGGCTGGAAGGTCATCTAAGAATAGGTCAAATATTGATCTAAATATTAAATATTAAATATTATAATCTCAAATGAAATAATAAATAAGATAATTAAACTGAGATTTTTTTTTTGGGTGCAAAACTGTTATTCCAATGGTAGATTTGTTTATCCTCCCACTCATATCAAATAAGAATATTGTGCTTCATTTGTGTTTAGCTTTTGCTGATGGCAGTCTGTCTCTATGTAATAATCAAACAGTTTGATTGCACCATTTTTATGATGATAAGGCGCCTAAATACATGTCCAACTCATAATTCTAGATTTTTTATTTTTAAATAGAAAACCCGCATTTCCTTTTTTCCACTTCAATATTTTCTGCTAGGTTGAGTGGGTGTGTAGAAAGTCCCAATGATATAATGTTAAAGTTTGTGGTTTTTGCAAGGTGTTGTTGATGGATACCATCATGACTATTTCACAACTCCTCATGATTTCCAGCTTAGCAGACTTTTCACAGGTTTCTGTCAGGATCCTCCCTCCTCTAATATTAACATGCTGCCCAACACGTACGCCCTTTCCACTCTCCTCTCTATATCTCACGGTCCTCTCCTGCATCTGTCCTGCATTCTTTGTTCCTGTCGCAAATCAAACTGCGAATCACATTGAAACTCTACCCACTTCTTCCTGTTTGCTTTGCCAAACCCAAACTGTGGGTTTTACCACGTCCAGTGTGTGTGTGTGTGTGTTTGTTGAACACCTGCATGAGGTATAAAATCGCCCTTGTTTCCGGTCCTTCCCATTCAAACCAGTCTGGTCAGAATATCACCTCAGATCTGGCATCACAATATTTGTGTGGCTGGAGTTCCTGTTTTTCTAGATGGTTCTCCAACCAGAGGAATGTAAATGTTTACCAGCTCTCTTTGGCTTGATGCGGTTCTCATAACTTTAATTTATGTCTCTCAGACTTCCATATTAAAGCTTCCCAAATCCTTTGTATCAGTTTAAGTGTTATTGTTCAAACATGCTTAGTTATTTATATCCAAGAACATGTTTCATCTTGAGTCATGCACACCCAAATGAGGAGTCCAATATGACCAGCTAGATAATCTGAAATGGGGAACCCTGCAGGAGGAGAGGTTCGTGAGTTTTAAGGGGTTCAGTGGAGAACTTAGTCACCCACTAAGGTATAGGTCAAGGCTGACTAAGCTTTAAGTGGCAGGAGGTGTGGGAGGGCCACTGGCAAGACAGAGGCTCTCTATTTTTGGCCTGCTACCTCTTCCTCCATTCTAATTCCTCTTTTCACCCGTTCTCTCTTTCCTTATTCCCCAGATGTGTTTCCTTCCTGAAAGTCGAAAGGCTGCACTTCTCCTCTTTTCCAACCCCTCTCTGACGCACGCGCCTGCCTCTGGGGGGAACTGGAAGGGGTGGAGGTAGGAGGGCCGGCAGCTAAGATTGAGAAATTATTTCTTATTTCGAAGTTTGTGGTTTTGTAGTTTGGAAAAAAATAAGGATGGTTCCCCTTTTTTTTAAAGAAAAAAGAAAAACACAACAGCAAACTATCCACAGCTTTACAGCTTTACTTTCATAACAATTACTTCATAACAACTCTCTAAACCACAACAGCAACACAGATGTTTCTCATTAGTCAGTTAATAGTTAGCACTTAGTCTTTCATAATGTTTCATAAAGCTTCACATGCAGAGGAAGGGATCTTTGAGGATAGGATTTAGCTCTGACACTGGCCATGTGAAAGCATAGATCTTATCCTTTGAACAATTACTCAGATGATCTGATTGTGTGTTTTGGAACAATCTGCCGAAAGACCCAATGGAGACTCATTTTGCTTTTACTGCTAGAGTATTTCAAAGGTTTATGATGAGAGACATTTATTAACCAAGACCTTTGAGACAGAAATAAGCTGACAGCATCTCCTCCACCGTACTTAGAAGCATCCTTTTCTGATATATTCATCTCTTGTTTCAGACCAAACCCACACAAAGGGTCTCTTACCAAATCAATGACCTACAACACCCGGTCCCAATTAAACCTACTTTTTGTGTGTTTGCGTGGCTCTACTGGCATCTATTGCAGAATAATACAACAACAAATGGAAGAATTTCAACAAACAACCCAGGAAGCCAAACCTTGGATTTATGTAGCTCTGCCCACTAATCCACTGGTACTGTCCCACAGTTGTAGGGAAACAACAGATATTCAGGCATTACAGACAAACATTTAGTTGTTTTCTTGCATCCATAGATCCATTGAGTTCACTCTTCTCTTATTCCTCTGACAAAATCCGTGCTGTTGTATCAATTTGATCTAGATCCGTGTCATGGCAAACAACCCAATAACAATCCAAATTCG